CCGTGGAAACAAAAATCATGTGAGATGTTTAAGCCCTAGCGAGGACAATCACTCTCCTGTGTGAAGAAGAGTTTCAGCTTTTACTCCCAGCAGGAGTCCAAATAATGCAGCAGATTCTAAAAGAGAAAGATTTCCAGGGAGAGCATTGGCACAGCAGGAAGAACCCTGCCTGGCACACCTACAGCCGTGTTGGAGAGCTGGGTTTGGGTCCCAGCTCTGCTTCCCACCCAGCTTCCTGCCAATGCAAACCCTGCCAGGCAGCAGTGGCGGCTCAAGTACTTGGGTTCTGCTATCCATATGGGAGATCAAATTCCTGGCTCCAGAGTTCAGCCTGGCTGTTTTTGGACATTTGAGGAGTGAACCAACGGATGGAAGGCTTTTGTGTGTCTATCTAAAACAGATTCCCAGCTAGGGCGGCAGACAGGGACCAGGGAGGTCCCTCCCCACCATCTGGAGATGAGTCTCAGAGGACCAGGGAGAAGTCAAATGAGAGGATTCTGAGCAAGGCTCCTGTGATTGGTCACTTACCTTTCACTCAGTTAACCAACCAAAATGATCACTTCTCAACCCCTTATTTATATCTGTCTCAGGAACCAATAAAAACAGTCCATTTTACTTTCTTTTTTTTTTTAAGCATTATTTTAAATAGACAAAATGCAGAGACAACTCAAGTGCATATCAACTGATGGATAAACAAAGCCTAGTATCTACATAAAGCGGAACATTAGTCACACAAGGAAGAGAATTCTGATTCATGCTACGACACACGGAGATCCATCCAGAGTGAAATAAACCAGACACAAAAGTACAAATACTCTGAGTGCACTGTGAGAAGTCGCTGGAACAGGAAGACTCACAGAGACAGGACGGAAATGAGAGGCCTCCAGAGGCTCGGGAGACAAATGAGGGAGTTGCTGCTCCATAGCCATAGAGCTTCTGCTGGAGATGTTGAAAAGCTGTGGAAGTGGAGTGGACTGTACGACACCGTGAATGTACTTAATGCTACTGCCTGATAAACACAGCAGTTTTTAAAAGAGGTAAAAGGGCTTATAACAACGCTGAATCAAGCACCAACTAGGTAAATGCTACTACAGGAGGAAAAGAAAGTGAATGGAAGTCCCGAGTCCGTGGGTTGGGGCCCTTCAAGTTCTGGCTGAGCGAGGTCCTCGGGGAACCCTGGATTCCCCAGCGAAGACTCCAAGGCTTGTCCAGAGCATGCAGATCTGGCCGGAGCTAGTCTCAGAACCAGGTCAGGAGGAGACGGGGCTCCACGTTCAGGACAAGTTTTCACTGAACTTGCTGTTTCCTTGGGGTGCCGCTAACAACTTAAACCATGTAACCGTGTCTGGCGTTTCCTGTTAGGAAAATGGCGCAGTCTTATCTATGGTGCGATCTACACCCTGACACCATCCTAGGCTCTAGCCCCCACCCTGCCTTTGCTGGAAGCCAGGTGGCTACATGGCCCGACCACCAGTGTCAAGCTCCACCCCCATCCTAATGGGATTGGCGGCTCCTGTTTCCCTGCCCGCCCTACAGCAAGGTTTTAAAAGGCCCTGTTCCTGGACACGTGGCTCTCTCTCACTCTCTCGCTCTCTCTCCTTCTCTCCGTCTCCTGATCTCTCTCTCTCTCTTGATCTCTCTTAGGCTCTCCTTCGCCCTCTTTTCTCCTTCCTCACCCTTCCCTCCAGTCTGCTGGGTTTTCTCCAATACACCATTTCCCTTACTCCGGTGTCTGGTGTGTTTTGTAGTGGCCTTACATTTCCCAGGTGCAGAGACCTCTGCCTTCCCCTTTCCAGGAAACACATGGGCAGGCTGCCTCCAGGGCAGATGGGGAGGTGTGGTCAGCTCCCTCTCCAAAGCTGGTGCCGGGGCTCTCGGCTGCTGGGGTCCTGAGTTGTGCATGTCCACACCCTCCATGTAGGTCCACAGTGTCCCTCTAATTTGCGTGGAGTTTCCCCTGCAGTTCTCTCCCTAACTCTTCCCTGAGAGTGCACTCTCTCCACTTTTTTAACTATCTTCTTCTAGATTAGAGCAACAAGCTCTCTCCCTATTCCGCCATCTTGGAGTCTCCAAAACAGCACGTTTTACGTACCTCATTCACATACCCCCTCACCAGTCAGGGAAATCCTCCCCGTTGAAAAACATAAAAACCCCTAGACCCCACCTCTTTTTTGGCCAGTGCTCTGGGAACCCACTAGGCATTTCTGCGAGCTTCCTCTCTCCTGCTTTGTCTATTGCTTGATAAACTTTCCCTTCTGCTCACGTGCTCCATTGTCTGTGTGGCTCACTCACTCTTCATGTCTGCGAGACAAAGAACCCAGCAGAAAGAGCTGTAACATTTCTAAAACTCGGTAGGAAGGAAAACTTGAGCATTTCTGCCTTTCAAATAAAATGAAAATAAGTAAATATATATACATATATATGTATAAATATGTACATATATATATATTGAAAGAGAGAGAGAGAGCGTGCCTTCCTTGGGGTCAGCATTGTGGTGCAGAGGATTAAGCTGCTGCCTGTGACCCTGCCACCCCATTTTGGAGTGCCTGTTGGAGTCCTGGCTCCACTTCCAATCCAGCTTCCTGCCAACATGCCTGGAGAGGCAACGGAAGATGGTCCAAGTGTTGGGGCCCCTGCCACCCATGTGGGAGACACAGATGGAGTTCCAGGCCCCTGGTTTTGGTCAGGCAAGTCCTGGCCATCGTGACCATTTGGGGAGTCAACCAGCAGATGGGAGATCTCTCTCTGTCTCTCCCTTTCTCTGTAACTCTGCATTTTTTTTAAATAAAGAATTTTTTTGAATGTGTGTTTCCTTATTTTTATCATAGTGGCAATTCAGTGTTTTTAGGGTGGTCTCCAAGCTGCCACTCCCTGGGCCCCCTCCTTTTTCTTCTGGTGTGTTCTGATCTGCATCTTATTGATACTCACAAACAAGCCCTCATTTGCCCTTGCATAATCTGGAATTCAACACGAAGAAACCCTTAAGGTGTTATCAAAAATTAATTTCCAGGTACAACTCTCAGTCATTCTAAATTCCACACAGCAAGTGGCAGTCAGTTTTCATAAATGTTACATTAGAATTTTGACACCGCAAATTTAAAATGAGCGGGACCAGAACGGAGGACTAACGGAGCGTGGAAAGTCGGGGGCGATGGCAGAGGGAGAAGCTCCAGGAATCTGCTCTCCATGGGAACCACAACCGCACTGGCAGAAGCCGACTGATGGAGCTATTTTGGAATTCTGGGCGCTATGCAAAAGTTTGCAGCTCCCGAGGGAAGGTGCGGCCAGTACATTGTGGTTAGTTCGGGTCCACTGCAGCCTCGTGTGGCAGCAACTACACATCGTCCCACTCCCAGCCCCGTGACAGGCAGCCAGACTGTGTTCCCAGAGTGGACGATAAGGGTTTTGTCTTCCCGATGCCACGGGTCTGTGTTCTGATCATGGACTTGTGCTTCTGACCCCGCAGGAGCAGACAGAGAAGCACCGTCGCTGTTTAACACCTCTCCAGCAGGTAGCAGGCCACTAAAGAAGGGTCCAAAATATATATATATATATACACACACACACGCACACACATATATATATGCATACATACATGATGGAGACAGGCAGTGAAGAAGCTGATGAGACACCTGCCTCCCACAACAGAAGACCACGGATTCACAGCAGGTGCCAGCCCCTGATTCCAGCTTCCTGCCAAGGCAGACCCCAGGAAGCAGTGCTGAATCAAGTGATTGGGTCCTGTCTCCCATATGAGAGGCCAGGATTGGTTCCCAGTTCCTGGTTTCAGCTGTTGCAGGCATTTAAGGAGTGAACCAGTAGATGGGAGTGTTCTGGGCCAGACTGGGTCTAAATTCATTTTCCAGGCTCTTGCCTTTTACTCAGAGAAGAATTCTAAACACAGGCCCAAACACGGGCATGCAGTGTGATAACTTTATTTACAAAGTAAGCAAAATATACAGGTTCATTAGGGCTTTGTTTCGGGAAAGCGGGCCAAAGAAAAGGAATTACCATACCCTGCTCTGCTTGTCCTGAGTCCACGAGGAGGAGAGAGCTCCCACTCTTCGTTACGAGCTTTAGAGAAACAGAAGCATTGGGGCCAGTGCTGTGGCGCAGCGGGTTAACACCCTGGCCTGCAGTGCTGGCATCCCATATGGGCGCTGGTTCAAGACCCACCTGATCCTCTTCCGATCCAGCTCGCTGCTGTGGTCTGGGAAAGCAGTGGAGGATGACCCAAGTCCTTGGGCCCCTGCACCCTGCACCCTTGTGGGAGACCTGAAAGAAGCTCCTGGCTCCCAGCTTCGGATCAGCGCAGATCTGGCTGCTACAGCCAATTGGGGAGTGAACCATCTGTTAGAAGACCTCTCTGCCTCTCCTCTCTCTGTGTAACTCTGACTTTCAAATAAATAAATAAATCATAAAAGAAAAACAGAAGTGTTTACGTGGTCCCACCCCCATATCCCTGGTAAGAGGAAGTACTTCCTGGGGAGGGGGTCCCCTGATTGACAGGTGGGTGAACATGGCAACACAGAGTGAAGGATGTGCAACTTCAAGATCCTGTACTTAAAATTATCTATCTAGGGCTGGCGCTGTGGCTTAGCGGGTAAAGCAGCCGCCTGTAGTGCCGGCTGGTTCAAGTCCCTGCTGCTCCTCTTCCAATCCAGCTCTCTGCTATGGCCTGGGAAAGCAGTAGAAGATGGCCCAAGTCCTTGGGCTCCTGCACCCACACAGGAGACCTGGAAGAAGCTCCTGGCTCTTGGCTTTGGATTGGCACAGCTCTAGCTGTTGTGGCCATTTGGGGAGTGAACCAACGGATGGAAGACCTCTCTCTCTCTGCCTCTCCTTCTCTCTCTGTGCAACCCTGACTTTCAAATAAATAAGTAAATCTTTAAAATTATTTATCTAAGCTTTTCCACATCAGAAGCTCTCTCTTTCTCTCCTTCAACTCAAATAAATAAAACATTAAAAATGAAACAAATTGCAGCAGTATTGGTTTGATGATCTAATTGGCTTTTTATTGGTTATTCTACACTGGGGCAGCATTTCAGTCCATAAAATAGAATGAATGCTCTGAGGAGCTGAGCAGAGGCAGCTGGTCCACAGAAAAGGTGGAAGGAAGCAGAAACAGAACAAGCAGGTTGGCCATGTCCAGGAACTTGCTCATCATGCTTGCTTAGGTAGGTGGGCGCTGTTGCTGGAATTTCCTGGGTTTGGGGGAAATGGCCTTTTAATTTGAGGAAAGTCAAAGTACACCCTTCCTCCCTCCCTCCCTCCCTCCCTTCTTCCCTCCCTTCCTTCCTTCCTTCCTCCCTCCCTCCCTCCCTTCCTTTCTTAACACAGTCTGCCACAGGGAAGCTTTTGAACCCAAGCCTAACTTGCTGGGGCTTTCTCAGAGCCTACCTGATCCTGTGTAAGATAAACAGACAAGGCCAGGTAGGTCTTGCTTTTCTCTAGAGAGAAAGCAAACGCCCTCTGGCCACGTTGTTCCACTAAGGGAGAGAAAAGGGAGGGGGGAGAGGGTCCCCAGGTCCCAGGTGAGGGGACATCCTGGGCAAGGAGTCATCCGACTGACAGCTGAGCAGATAGGATTACATGAGGGGGTGTGGCTTCCATCTTGTGGCCCTAAGCTATTTCCCTGCCTTATCTCATATCAAGATACCAGACCACGGATCCAGGAAGCTCTGAAACATGAAACAAGATAAGTGCCCCCTCCAAAAAGAACCTCTATCTGAAGCACATTTATTTTGAAATGATAGAAAGTCGAAGGTAAAGGAAAAATTTTGGGAAGAAGTGGAGAAAAGGTAAGAATTACATGTAATGTCCCAGAAACTGTGTGCAAGTTATTCAGTGCTGAGAGAGGAAAGGAACCCACGTATGTTCTGCACCCAGGGACACTACCCTTAATAAGAGAAAGGGGGGGGGGGGGTCAGCGCCGTGGCGCAGGAGGTTAATCCTCCATCTGCAGCGCCTGCTTCCTATATGGGCGCCGGTTCTAGTCCCAGCTGCTCCTCTCCCAATCCAGCTCTCTGTTGTGGCCTGGGAAAGCAGTAGAAGATGGCCCAGGCCCCTTGGGCCCCTGCACCCACGTGGGAGACCTGGAAGAAGCCCCTGGCTCCTGGTTTTGGATCGGCGCAGCTCTGGCCATTGTGGCCATTTGGAGAGTGAACCAATGGATGGAAGCTCGCTCTCTCTTTCTCCCTCTCTCTGCCTCTCCTTCTCTCTCTCTGTGTAACTCTTCCAAATAAATAAATAAATCTTAAAATAAAAAAAGGAGAAGGTGGGCATTTGGCCTACTGGGTAAGACGTGGATTTCCATGTCCTACATCGGAACCTTAGTTCATGTTAGCCTGTGTGTGTGGGAGAGGCCAGAGGGAAAAAATGCATGTGGGAAGCAAGGTAGCAGCCTTAGAAGCGTGCTTTGGAAGCAGCCTAGCATTTGCACAGGAAAGTTCTGTCCCCATCCTGATGACTGCCTGGGTGCCCCCCTCCCCACCTGGGGACATCCCAGGAGACCCTTCCTGGCCCTGCACCATGGGGGGTACTCTGGGGCTATTCCGTTTGATAACACTGGGTAATAAAACCTTGGGAGGAATTTCACTAATTTCACACCCTTTGCCCAGCAATATGCCAAGAGGAGAGGGGGGGGGAAGGAGATGCAGCACAAGGGTGGAGCTGACCCCCCCATAAGCGCCAGTCTGACAGTAGACTGGGCACTCTCACTTGCTTCTGGAACTGAGTTCCACTTGGCCTGTCAGAGGCACTGCCTCGTTAAACTTTGGGAGGCAGAGGTGATGGCTTGCTCCTAGCTTGAGCCCAGCCAAGGGGCCATGTGAGAACCTGGGGATTAACCAATAGATGGGAGCATTCCCTGCCTGTCATCTCTCTCTCTCTATGCCTCTTAAAAAGGTGTAGGATAAAGGTTTTCTAAGGCAAACAACATTGAGAAAATGTGTTTCCACAAGGTCTACCTGGCAAGAATTGTTAAAAAAAAAAAAAAAAAAAACACACGTTACTTAGGGGCCGGTGCTGTGGTGTAGTAGGGTAAGCCTCTGCCTGCATTGCCGGCACCCCATATAGATTCTGGTTCAAGTCCCTGTTGCTCCTCTACCAATCCAGCTCCCTGCTAATGGGGCTGGGAAAGCAGCAGAAGATGGCCCAAGTGCTTGAGCCACTGTACCGGTGTGGGAGACCCGGCAGAAGCTCCTGGCTCCTGGCTTTGGATCAGCCCAGCCCTGGGCATTGCAGCCATTTGGGGAGTGAACCAGTGGATGGAAGACCCCTCTCTCTCTCTCTTTGTCTCTCTCTCTCTAACTCTGCCTCTCAAATAAATAAATAAATATTTTTTAAAAATAAGTTACTTAGAGCGAAGGAACATAACATAGCTTAGAAACTCAAGTTTTTATAAAGAAAAGCATCAAAGAAAGAATAAATGAAGGTAACATTTTACTTTTCTATTCTTAACTGATCTAAGAGACAATAATTTGCTAAAAATGATAACATGTATTCAATTACTTATGCATATATATCATAAATACATGCTAATATAGAATTTAAATGAGTGACAGCAAGGACACAAGGAGTGGAAGGAACAAATTAGGATTATCACTATTTTAAGGCACTTAAGGTGTTAGGTAGGAAGCCAGATATGAGCTTATGTGTGTGTGACAGGCCTAAAGAGAAGACATCTATGTCCAGCATATGCATCTGCATCTCAAAGTCATTCCGAAGCCCAGTATTCGCATCCTGCCCTGCCCCCTCCTACCCCATAACCTCCAGGTGGGGGTCCCGCCCCTTCTGCCTGATAACCTTCCAGATGCAGCCCAGTATCTGCATATCGAACACTCTGCTCGGGATCTCCATTCTCCAGGGGGTCTTGCTCACCCTTCCTCTAAACTCAGGACGGTGCCAGCTAGGCTTCCTCCTGTCTGATACCTTTAGGGGAAAACTCAGATAGCAGCTTCTTAATATCTACATCCATAAAGTTCTTTGTTTCAGGAGGAGATGTGTGAAGACAAAGACCCATCTCCTTAAAAACCCCTGGCCTCCACTGGACTGCGCACTCAGCCCTCTGCCTCTCTGCTGAGCCGCCCGCCTGGCCTGCCCAGGTGTAGTCTCTCCAGTCAACCCTGTAACCTCACTCCCCCCAACCCAAGTCCGAGCGACTGGGCACTCTCCCTCAGGCTCTGTCTGGAGAGGTGCCCATCCGTCCAGATGTCGCTTCCCTAATAAACCTTGCTATTTTACCTCCCACTACTCTCTGTCTTATGCCTGAATTCTTTCTTGCACAAGACAAGAACCCTACCATTCTCTGATAACAAAGGTATCCATGGAGCTATAGTGTAATTTTGTTTTTTTGTATTTTTTTTGAAAGATTTATTTATTTTATTTGAAAGTCAGAGTTACACAGAGAGAGAAGGAGAGGCAGAGAGAGAGAGGGGTCTTCCATCCGCTAGTTCACTACCCAAATGGCCACAACAGCTGGAGCTGTGATGATCTGAAGCCAGGAGCCAGGAGCTTCTTCCAGGTCTCCCACGTGGGTGCAGGGGCCCAAGGATTTGGGCCATCCTCCCCTGCTTTCCCAGGCCATAGCAGAGAGCCGGATCGGAAGTGGAGCAGCCAGGTCTCGAACCGGCAACCATAGAGGATGCCAGCACTGCAGGTGGTGGCTTCACCTGCCATGTCACAGCACTGGCCCCCTATTGTGTAATTTTGAAAGTGGATTTTCATGTGAGAGACTCAGAAGAAACTCCTGACTCCTGGATTTGGATCACCTCAGCTCCTGGCATTGCAGTCATTTGGGGAACAAACCAGCAGATGGAAGACCTCTCTCTCTGTGTCTCTCTGTCTCCCTCTTTCTCTCTGTAACTCTGCCTCTCAAATAAATAAATCAATCTTAAAAAAATAAATAAAGCAACCCCCCCAAAAAAGAAAGTGGGTTTGGATAGTTGTAAATTAATGTTAATATTAGTTGTAATATTAATATCTAGTAACTGCAAAGAGAAAGAATGAATGAATGAAATAAGAAAGAAAGAAAAAGAAAGAAAGGGCAAGCTGCTATGGCTTTAATGTGAATCCTGAAGTTCACGTGTTGGAAACTTGATCTTGGACTTCCCAGCATCCAGAACTGTAAGACAGAAATCTTTATGCATTACCCACTCTCAGATCTTCCATTCAAGCAGCGGGCGGAGACAGAAGGATAAGTGATTGCTAAGAAAGGAGAGCTGAAGCCACACAAAGCAGAAAGGGAGTGGGAGAAAAAACAGGAACGCAAGGGCAACAAGTAGAAAAACAGCAGTCACAACTGTATATGAAGATGTTCCTGTGTAACAGAACTGATGCTCACTTTCTGTTTGGTTTTCAGCAGAGAAAATAAAAGGGGTTGCACCTCCAAAAAAAGTGAAACAATTAATTATAGAATGACTATAATTATATCAACAGTGACTTTGTCAATAGCCTAAATACACCAACGAAAGGACAGAAATTGTCATAGTGGAACAGAAGTCAAGACCCATTCTATGTGACCTATAAGAACCCACCATAATTATAAAGACACATAGAGATTAAAACTAAATGGATGGGGATGGGTATTTGGCCTAGTGCTTAAGATACTGCTTGGGGGCCGGCGTTGCGGCTCACTAGGCTAATCCTCCGCCTGTGGCGCCAGCACCCCGGGTTCTAGTCCCGGTTGCTCCTCTTCCAGGCCAGCTCTCTGCTGTGGCCCGAGAGGGCAGTGGAGGATGGCCCAAGTGCGTGGGCCCTGCACCCGCATGGGAGACCAGGAGGAAGCACCTGGCTCCTGGCTTCGGATCAGCGCAGCGCACCGGCCATAGCAGCTATTTGGGGGGTGAACCAACAGAATGAAGACCTTTCACTCTGTCTCTCTCTCTCTCACTGTCTAACTCTGCCTGTCAAAAAAAAAAAAAAAAAAAGATACTGCTTAGGGATGCCTGCATCCCACCTGGGGCATCTGGGTTCATCTCTGCTCCTTGCTGCTGTGCATGCTGGGAGGCAGCAGGTAGTCAAACCCTCCTCATGAGAGACGGGAATTCAGTTCTTGACACCCAGGTGTTTGGAGAGTGAACCATCAGATGGAAGGTCTCCCTTAAATAAATAAATCAATGTTTTTAAAAAGTAAGTGGATAGATAAAATCATGCTAACTAATCTAAAGAAAGTGCTGGGGGGGGGCTGGCACTGTGGCATAGCAGGTAAAGCTGACACCTGAGGTGCCAGCATCCTATTTGGGTGCCAGTCTGAGTCTTGGCTGCTCTGCTTCCAACCCAGCTTCCTGCTAATGGCCTGGGAGAGCAGCAGAAGATGGCTCAAGTGCTCCCACGTGGGAGACCCAGAAAAAGTTCCCGTCTCCTGCCTTCAGACTGGCCCAACTCCAGCTGTTGTGGCCATTTGGAGAGTGAACCAGCAAATGGAAGATTTCTCTCTCTCCCTCTCTCTGTCTCTCTCTCTCTATATATATAGTTTTCTTATTCTTGTATATATATGCATATATATCTGTCTCTTTGCTCTCAAATAAAATTTTTAAAATATGAGGCAAAAATAGAACTGGAGGGAAACAGATGAACCCATTACTATCCTTTTTTTCCAATTTGTAACCTTTATAATTAACAATTGTAAAAACTTACAAATAATTGGATTGTTTCACTACAATTACTATCATTTTAAACCACTTTACACACTCAATGAGATGAAGCCATCCTTCTGTATATAGCATCTTGTAATTTTTATAAAAGCTTTTTAAACTTATTTTTCAATCAATCTTGATAACTGTGTTTTCATAATATTAGTAGCAAAAGACAAACCCTTCAAAACCCAGTACTCTGTGTTTTTCTCCCAATACCTGACAACTATTTAAACAAAATTATTTCTTTTTGAGTGGGCCAAATTACTACATTAGTGTGGGGAGCAACTCGGACTAGACTAAGTTACTGGAATTAAGACTTATTCTATGCATCTGCTCTCCCACAATATGGCGCTGAGAAGGGAGTAAACAACTTCTACGCAGCTGCCTCTCGCCAACTTGAGTGATGACCTGCAGGAGCTGATCCTGCTCCTGATTGGAGGAGAGCAGCATGCTCGGCGTGTGGGTAGCAGAGCACGGATTGGTGGAAGAGGACTATAAAGGAGGAGAGAGACAACATGCACCAGGAACATCTAAGGGGAACATCCGTATAACATCTGAACAGCCCCCGAGAGAGCCGGCCGGTGGTGTGCCACTCCTCCGCGGAAGTGGGGAAAGTGGCAGGGGGGCCTGCCCCTCCACGGAGGTGGAGGGAAGGCAGCCAACCCGGGAAGAACCAGCAGCAAACCCGGGAAGGGCCGAGCAGACAAAAGAACAGTGCAGGGTCCTGTGTCATTCCTCCACGAAGAGGGGGAGCGACACATTAGGTTATGGAAAAGCTGGGAGTATCAGAGCTTCAATGGTTGCAGTGCTAGAAAAGAAACGAAGATGCAGTTCTCACACAGGCGAACGTATGCTAAGAGAAATGATGAAGCTTCCCAAATTTGCCAGAGGGTATGCCAGGTGAAGGAAGAGCCTGTAAACCTTCCAGCCAGTGAGGTTGAGAGTGCTTACCTGATTTCACATCAAAAATTCACCTATAGCCATGTCTAAGGGTTAATGATTTTAAAATGTGTAAGTGTACTACAACGAGGTATTTGCAATCTTTGGTGCTGTGCCATGAAAATTGGTAGACTGTTGATGCTGCTACAACATGGTAAGTATTTAAGTTCCTGGGCATAAGGGATAACCAATTAATACGCAAAATAAGTGACACTGATCATTGTCAAATTAAAAATTTAAGAATCATTTATATCTACTAGTATGTCGCTCCCCCTCTTCATGGAGGAACGACACTAAACCCTGCCTAGGCTTCATATCCGAGTCACGGCACCATTATGTCGCTCCCCCTCTTCATGGAGGAACGACACAGGACCCTGCGCTGTTCTTTCGTCTTCTCGGCCCTCCCCGGGTTTGCTGCTGGTTCTTCCCGGGTTGGCTACTGTCCCTTCCACCTCCGTGGAAGGGCGGTTCCCCCTGGCCACTTTCCCCACTTCCGCAGGGGAGTGGCACACCGCCGGCCGGCTCTCTCGGGGGCTGCACAGGTGTTCGCCTTAGATGTTCCCCTTAGATGTTCCTGGTGCATGCCGTCTCTCTCCTCCTTTATAGTCCTCCTCTGCCAATCCCAACTCGGCTGCCCACACGCCGAGTACGCTGCTCTCCTCCAATCAGGAGCAAGTCCTACAGTTTATTGGCTGAACTGGAGGCAGCTGTGTAGAAGCTGTTTTCTCCTCTCCCAGCGCCATATTGTGGGAGAGCAGATGCATAGAATAAGTCTTAATTCCAGTAACTCAGTCCAGTCCGGGTTGCTCCCCACACTAGTAGGTGTTTCAAAATGCTTACCCATATAAATTCCCATTGTTATATAAAGGCTTTCATGATAAAACTCCCTGGCTCTTGAATTTTAAAAAGTATAGAATAAAATGTTTAATTCTAACTCTTTGTTGCTGCTGCTGAGACATCACTGAAGTAAAAGAGGGAAACATCCTCAGTGTGAAATTTGCTTCGAAACTACAAATTATTTCAGACAAAATAAACATATATGTTCACATTTACAAACATTTTCCTCATTACTCCTAGAAACAAGATTAATAAAGTTTACATATTACATACAATAAAAATCAGTTGTAAGGAAGATTTTGTTTTCTTCCTAAATAAAATTTCTGTGTTTGAGATATCTCTTTAAGACATGCCAATATGGCACACTGGCAAAATAACCCAGGAGTCTACCTGAAAAATCCTGACCAACACACATCAGCTCTGTGAGACTTACTAGTGGGCTGGACTAGACTAGTTTCTTTAAACAGGAAGGAAGATCTTAACTGTTACAAAACAAAGGAGGCACAAAATAGAAACTGCATTTCATAAAAGAACAAAATTTTGTTGTAAAAGTTTTCATGATGATCTTCTTGCCCACACTGTTCATTTAAAAAGTCCTAGTCAAAACCAAAAAAGCCTAGAGATTTAAAAACAGCAGTGAAGAATTTCACTCTTTGTACATTACATTATAGCGTATAAAGCTATTAAATATTTTCAGCGTCAAGAGCAAAGCATTAACCCCTACCTAGCTTTTTCACTGGAAGATGGACACTTGATTCATTAACTGCCAGGTGGATTACCCGTGCTGACTGTAATAAAGCCATTTCACAATCGACTTAAGATGTAATAACACTAGTCAAACACACGGAGACACAAATACCATAAGTGATGTGTTTTGTATGTATAAATACCTATGCTTAGGGCATGGCTATCAAGTATCAAGACTGATTTAATGCTTTATAGTCATAGTACTTGAAAAACATACTGTCAGGAGGCTAATCATCCCACATATGAAAACTATCTACACGGGGAAGGCCATGATTTACTACAAAGCAAATTCTAAGGAAGGACAAGTAACTTTGAAGAACAAAATTTTAAATGTAATGTGTAGGCCAAAGTCTCAAGTCACTTTTCGGAGAATTCAGAACTATTCAGAGTCGAAAAATGCTTTTCCTTTTTTCTCTTCTTTTTTTTTTCCTTTTTTGTGATGTTTCCCTTTTTTATTTATTCCTTTTTTCTTTTCTTTCTTCTGATATTTTTGTTCTTCTGTTTTGATGTGTTCTCTTCAGCAGAACTGGATGGTGAGACCTTTTCTTTTTCTTTCAATTTGATTTTCTCTTTGCTTTTTTCTCTTGTCTTCTCCTCTTCTTCATTTATTCTTTTTTCCTGTAATGCCTGCAACTTATTTAGCTCTTCATTCTCTTTATCACTATCTTCACTGCTTATACTACTGACATCCAAAACGATGTCCCTTTTAGGGTCTACTCGGAGAAAATTGTGGCATTCAAAAGTCAGGTGAGCAGGGTAACCACATCTATACAGCCTGCTCGGACACTGTCCTTGTTGCAACCTGGGACTGCCGTGATGCTGGTATAAAGGGTCGCTGGAGCCCTTAGCTGTCGAGAACATGTCTGCTCCCCACCCGCTGCGGGGACAAAGCTCAGCCAAAGCAGCCTCCTCCCACCTGCACCATGGCGCCTTCGCGACAGGCAGGGAAGGCCCTGTCCCATTAGTATCCTGTCCCTCATTTATGATCACACCATAAAATTGGGGGGGTGTAGCAGCTTTGTATTATTTAATAAAAATACAACACCTAAGAAAGGGTCTGAGCAGGCCCAAAAGTCACAAGCAAATTTCCCAAGCATGGCTCAGAACCCATGTCGCTACATCTTGTCTCTGAACTCACAGCCATGGCCTCACAGCTGATGCACAGGGGGTGTGCCCCTGGGAGTGGTCCCCCACTGCACGACAGCCGTGCTCAGAGGCAGCCCTCGGACACAGTGAAAGGAATCACTGTGTAGGGAGAACTTTGGGCAGCTCCCCGGAATGGCCCATTCTGGGAAGACAGCTTGAGGCATGGGTGTCATGGGCATGGCAACGGCTTCAAGACGGTCTGACAAGTCAGGGACTTGGGAAGAATAAAATCAGAAAATCGGTGACAAAGGGGTTCAGGAGAGCAGTGCGTAGAACCCCAAAATGGGCAGGAAGTATGATTCCCATAGGAAATCCACAGCGAAGAAGATCTCTGTCCCCAGCCATTTGGTATTTGTTCACTGGACCCGTGAGAAAGTGACCATGGTGGCAGAGATACCATGGGTGCCTGAACAGTCTACAGCAGAAGCCAGAACAAGACCCCCCAGTATGACACCATTCCTCAATAGTACTAGACAGGCACTTGGCTGGGAGTTGATCATGTTGGACCTTTTCCATCACGGAGAAGGGAGCGAGGAGTCCTCATGGAAATTCACGCCACTGTGGTCTCAGATCTGCCGCCATCAACTGTGCCTGTCTCACATTCATGTGCTTATGGAATAGCTTGTTCATTATCATTGTATCCTGTGTAATATCACTCCAGAACTCATTTTGTGGTACAAGAAACACGACGGAAGGAGCAGATCCAAGGCACTCATGGGCTTGCCTACGCCCCCAGAGGTTGCTGGCCTGAAACAATGGTTGGATATGGTCTACAAGGGGCGTATGGTGTCAGCTGAGTGACATCCTGTGAGGTTGCAGTCCGTCCTACACGACAAGCATGGACTTTCAATCAACCAAAGAGGGAGGGAAGCTGTAGCCGCTCACAATATACCTAACAACCCACTAGTGAGATCTTTGCTAATCTTGTGCCCTGAGAACTGGAAGTCCTATTTCCCAAGGAAGAAGGCAAACAGGCCAGGAGAAAAATGCAGGTGGCAAGGGCATAAAGCCAGTGAGAAGAGGGCGGGAAATGCCAAAACAAACAAAAACAAAAGTCTACCACCAACACAAAAAAAAAAACGAGGACGGCAAGTTGAGAGGGCCTGTTAGGGGACTTAGGGTTTTAAGATTTTGGAGTAAAAGAGGAAAAGCAACACAGAGTTTAATACCAACCACAGAACTGAGCTCAAGGGATTGGAGGCTTGGTCCCACACGCCTCTGAAGGTGTGCTGATTCTAAGGGAGACCTCCAGGCCACAGCAAACAGGCCGGAAGCCGCAAACACACTTGGGGCGAGGATGCCCTTCTGAGATTGGGAGCCATCAAGGCCAGGAGGCTGGCCTGGGTGCGGTCACGTGGTGCGTAGTTCAGCTGCGGCTCTGGATGCCTGCATCCCACCTCGGAGTCCCCAGGCTGGAGCACCGGCCCCACTGCGCGTCCCTGCCTGGCCAGAAGGCAGCAGGTAGTGGCTCCAAGGGCCTGGGTCCCTGCTGCCCACCTGGGAGACTGACACCCAACCCCTACATCCCAGGACTGGCGACCAAGGCTGCGCCGGCCCCTAGCCCCTCGGCTTTAAAGGGAAGGTATTGCTGGCCACACCAGTCCTGGTGAGAACGCTGATGAGCTATGCGGGCTCCCTGTGCCCCTCATTCCTTCTGCCAGTTAAATAAACACTGGTGTCTCCCGCTGAGACAGTGAGACAGCGCTGGTTTGGTTCCCTTCCCTGAAAAATACGACGAAGCCCGAGTCTGGGTGAAGGGCAGCGTGCAGCCACGCTCCTGCCAGCCCAGCCCAGGGTCCCGGGCGCACCAGGGCCCCGCCGGCCCCGCACCTCGCAGGGCGAAGCGCGTGAGGTAGCCTAGCGACGCCCGGCCCGCCGCGCATGCTCCGGGACTCGGCCCGGGATCGCGCCGGCACCGCAATCCAGCTCTCCACATCTTGCCGGTGCCCTGAGAAAGAAACCGCGGGGTCTCTCAGCCGCGGGAAGGACCTGGCGCGGACGCACCGCCGACGGGCGGGCGCTGCCCGCAAAACCCGGCGAGCGTCCGGAGCGCACTCCGCGTGCGCGCGCCTGCGGACATGCGCAGTGGCCCTCGCGCCGGCGCCGGCGGCGGCGGCGGCCCCAGAGCCGGAAGCGGCGCGTTGGGTCATGTCGGCCCAAGGCGACTGCGAGTTTCTGGTGCAGCGAGCCCGGGAGCTGGTGCCCCATGACCTGTGGGCAGCCAAGGCGTGGCTGATCACGGCCCGCAGCCTTTACCCGGCCGACTTTAACATCCAGGTGAGGCGCGGCGGCAGCGGCCCCCCGCGGCTCAGCCCCGCACCCCGGTTCCCCCGGCGGCCCCGGGGAAGGGGCGGGTGGGCGCGGGCGGGTCTGGAAGCGGGGCCCCGCCGCCTGGGTGGGGAGAAGCGGTCGGGGCGGCGCCCTCGGGCCTGGGGGCCTGAGGCCGGGGTCACGCGTGTCCGCGGGGCAGCGCGGTGACCCGAGTCCGCCTCGTTGCAGTATGAGATGTACACGATCGAGCGGAACGCGGAGCGCACGGCCACCGCGGGGAGGCTGCTCTACGACATGTGAGTGGCGGGAGAGACGCGGGGCCGGGTGGCCTGGGGGTCCAGGGTCCCGGGGCGGGGGCTGGGGGCACGGCCTCGGGTGCACCTGCCCCTGAGGGGCGCGTCTGGTTTACCAGCGGCACAGAGCGCATTGGTTCCCCACCCCCACCCCTTGTATCCGTTAGTTTGCTCCTCGCGAAGGTTCGGACCCTAGTAAGTTACAGGTCTGCAAGGCCCTCCTGAACGAGTTTTGAGCACCTGTGTCTGTATTAGTCTCCATAAAGTACTATCTCCGTTGATATTTCCACGAATGGTGTGTAAGAAGAGGGGCGGTTTTCCCACACCGTTGCCAACATTGAAGATTTTCAGTCTCTTTAATTTTTGCCCGAATGGTAAGAGACGTGGGGTCTTGCTATTTTTCTAAGGTGCCACTTGCTACTACTTAACTATGAGACTGAATATCATTTCAGCTCTGCTCTTTTTGTATGATTTTCCTTTGCTCCTTTTTTCTTTCACACAGTTTATTATTAGTTTTTAGGACTTCTTTATTATATGTATATATTTTAAAGATTTTTGTTTTACTTGAAAGAGTTACCGAGAGGTGCAGAGAGAGAGAGAGAGGTCTTCCATCTGATGGCTCACTCCCCAGATGACTGCAATGGCTGGAGCTGTGCCGACTTGAAGCCAGGAGCCTCTTCCTGGTCTCCCACACAGGTGCAGGGGCCCAAGGACTTGGGTCATCTTCCACTGCTTTTCGAGGCCATAGCAGAGAGCTAGATTGCCGGACTCGAACCGGCATCCATATGGGATGCCAGCACTGCAGGTGGCGGTTTTACCCACTACACCACAGTGCCCACTACACTTCTTTATATATTAGTAGTTGTGTTTTCACTTGTAGAAACCTCTAAAGACTGGTGAGTGTAGTAGGCACCCCCATCCTTGGTTCACTTTCTGCATTTTCAGTTAGTTGTGGTCAGCCGTGGTCCAAAAATACTGAATGGAAAATCCAGGACTACACACTTCACGCGTGTTAGATTACACGCTCTTCTAAGGGTTGCTTGTGCACAAGAACTGCAGCGTTGCCAAGCTGAGCCGATAGCCAGCATGGCCACTGAGGGAGTAACAGGCAGGCAGTGTACACAGAGTAGAAACGCTGCCCAGACGGATGGCTCCCTGCCCCTGCAGGAGGAGACAGGCACTGCCTACGATTTCCTCAGATAGCTTCCTGGGGAGAAGGTCAGTAGCAGCTTTTAATGTCACAGTGCCCCAGAGGGTCCCCTCATGTCATCTGATCCCGTGTGCATGGTGTCTTCTCACAGAGTCATGAGAAGGGTGAGCACAGGAGAAGGCACCCTGTGAGAGAGACCACGTCCTCAACTTTTATTATAGCACATTGTTAGGGTTTATTATGAGTTATTGGTGATCTCTTGCAGTGCCTGATTCCTCTGTTAAACTATCATAGCCGTATATTTACAAAAAGAGGCATGGTGTACATCAGGTTGGACTCTATCCGTCCCAGCAAGGTATCCATGGGGTTGTTAGGATGTGCACCTGTGGCTAAGGAGAAGACTATTGTACTTATTTTTCTAAACTAACCAGCTTTGTATCTTTATTTTAGAATATCCAAGCACTCACTTGGAATACAGAAAGCTGTCTTTCCTAAATGCTAACGTACTTCTTGTTTTGGATTCTGAACAGAATCTGACATTTTCTTTCAATGCATTCGTTTTAAAAACAGGTTTGTGAATTTCCCAGACCAGCCGGTGGTGTGGCGAGAAATCAGCATTATTACATCAGCGCTAAGGAATGACTCACAGGATAAACAGACCCAATTTTTAAGAAGTAAGAATGGATTAATAACTTGACGATGTATAATAAATTACCGTTTCTAGGATATCCAACCATATATGGTGAATTCTCAAGTCACACCTGTGCTGTTGGTACCCATATGTGCGTTTTATTCTTGGCCACTGAAGTCTGTAGTAATGTCACCTGAGCCCGTTGAGCTTCCTTAAAGGATGTGGATTTGTCAGTGAGACCGAGGAATGGAATGTATTTTTTACAGGGTTTACAGTAACCAGTAAGCTTCTGTAGATTCGCTAAGTCTAAATCTCTGTAAACGGGAGAGAAACTTAGTCATTTGTGACGCTTTTCCTTTCCATTTTCCCTGTGTTGGTTGTTGTGAGTGGTCAGAGATTTCAGACTTAAATAAAAGAGCAAGTAGATGGTGTAGGTCGTTTTAGCATAACCAAGCACGTGCTGTGTATCTCACGTATGTCATTGTTTGGATGCAGCCGGGCATCCGCATGCTGTATGCTTGCCCAGCACAAGTCTAGTGCTATGTGCGGTCAGACCTGGGGCCTGCCGGGCGCAGGTGAAACCTGACCACTGGGGGATTCATGTATCTGAAAATGCCTTGCTTGGCACTTATGCTGCAGTGTTTTCTGTCGGAAAGAAATTTCAAGGTGAAATGTGTTCTGCGCAGGTTTATTTGAAACTCTTCCGGGTCGAGTCCAGTGTGAAATGTTACTGAAGGTCACGGAGCAATGCTTCAACACACTGGAGCGATCAGAGATGCTGCTGCTGCTCCTGAGGCGCTTCCCTGAAACTGTGGTGCAACATGGGGTAAGGTTTATTTATCTGAAAGGCAGAGTTACACAGAGAGAGGAGAGGCAGAGAGAGAGAGAGAGAGAGAGAGAGAGGGAGGGAGGTCTTCCATCCTCTGGTTCACTCCCCATTTGGCCACAATGGCTGGAGCTGCACCGATCTGAAGCCAGGAGCCAGGAGCTTCTTCCAGGTCTCCCACGCAGGTGCAGGGGCCCAAGCACTTGGGCCATCTACTGCTTTCCCAGGTCACAGCAGAGAGCTGTATTGGAAGAGGACCAGCTGGGACTTGAACCAGCGTCCATATGGGACACCAGCACTGCAGGGAGTGGTTTTACCTGGTACACCACAGCGCTGGCCCCGATTCTTTGGTTTTTAAGAGAAGGTGAATTCCATCTTGAGATTGGTCAGTGCTCTCAGGAGCCACAGTGTGTGAGGCACTGAAGCAGGGATGCAGGGATCCCTGGTTATGGTGAAGCTACAAGGACGTCGCTGTTAGCAACCGTGCATTCCAGAAGTCTCCTCAGTGAGGAAGCAGTCACCCAGCTCTGACAGTGCAGCACACAAGCACCCTTTCCCTCGTGTTCAACGGCGTGTATGGATTGAAATGAGAGCTGTTTTATATTCTTCCTCTTAGGAATTTCAAAGTGTAGCGTGAACATACATGAAAATAGAATGTTCCCTTACTTCAAAGTACGAATTTCAATAACAATTACACTTCAGTAATGCCAGCTGCCTAACAGTAAAGCATTTATGTTGGGGCATTTTCAGACAACTTGTAATAGTATGAAAAACCAAAAAATTAGAATCAGTAAAAAGATAAAAATCGCATTTCCATGTTGTGTGGCCTCTGGATTCCCTCTCAGCAGAGGACAGAAAGGCTGATTGTCAAACAGATTCCTGGATCGTCCCAGGAGTGGGTCTCTAGGCTTCTCTAGTGGGTGTTGTGTCTGAACGGTCTTTCCTTCCGGGCTCATCTGTTAACATCATCGGGCCGGCGCCGCGGCTCACTAGGCTAATCCTCTGCCTGCGGCGCCGGCACACCGGGTTCTAGTCCCGGTCAGGGCACCGGTTCTGTCCCTGTTGCTCCTCTTCCAGTCCAGCTCTCTGCTGTGGCCCAGGAAGGCAGTGGAGGCCCAGATTCCCTGCATGGGAGACCAGGAGGAAGCGCCTGGCTCCTGGCTTTGGATCGGCGCAGTGTGCCAGCCGTAGCGGCCATTTGGGAGGTGAACCAATGGAAGGAAGACCTTTCACTCTCTCTCTCTCACTGTCTAACTCTGTCAGAAAAAAAAAAAATAAAAGTTAACATCATCGTCAGGCCTAAGTGAAGCCAGTACTGGAATCTGAGAACTAGAATTCTTGGTGTGTTCTTGGGCGTAGGCAGGCATCCCTATCCTTGTTGAGCTCTCACTAGTGTGAGACGGGATAAGAGGGATGCAGTCCAGGGACCTCCGCCAACTCCTTCCCCGCCAGGTCACTGAGGTGGTCCCAGCACTGAGGGCTGATGGGGTGCCCACGTGTTCCCCATCGGGAGCTGAGAGTGTGGCCGCTACACCAGGACAGCACCTGCGCACTTGCAGACTCATCTCGGAATTGAGCGTCGCGTGGTGCATGTGCAGTAGACACTTGTACTTCAGAGATGCTTCTTGTTGCCGTGGCGATGGCACGCGTGCGTGGTACCGCAGGCTCTGTAGAAGGCGAGTAGAGCTGGCAGGCGTAGACCGCGTCAGTGGGTCCCCGAGGGGTCGCACCACACCAGGATCAAACGGGTTTTGATGTAATGCTAAGTCAGTGTCGGGGCTCCGGCGGCGGCTCCCCCGTCAGAAGGCTGACTTACGTGTTAAGTGTTAAGGTCCAGCCTCCCCTCTGGAGAGGCATTTGTTTAGCTTTGCAGGTGTCCTCAGGCTAGCTGGCTCTGATGCTGAACTGTGTATCCGTGTCGCTACTGTTTTGCCCTCAGCGGTTCTCTGCCTTGGAGCTGAGCGCTTATCCGGAAGGGCCTGTCTTGCTGCTCCCTGGCTCGCCGTACAGTCTGTCTGTCTGTGTCCGTCAGTGGGAAGCAGTTGTCGGTCTCTTCCTAGGCGTTTGCGCAACACCTTTCCTTCCTGCTGCAGTGCAGGATGGCTCAGTGCGTGTGCGGTCCCGCTGCCGGCGTTCCTGAGCGCCGTGAAGGTCTTCATTTGTTTTAGCTGATGATCTGGAACCTTCCGGTTTCATTCTTCCTTAGTCCCCCCTGTGTTTCCCACTCCCACCTCAACTTTTCCTAGCTGCTTCCGTTCTCTGCCAAGCTCTGGACATGCTGCCGCCTGGAGTGTGCGTGTCTCACCATCCCCGTCTTCACGCTGTGAGTGGGGCGTTCTGCTGAACCATGTCCTGCTGTCCTGTTTATCAGTCATAACTGATCTGTCCTCTGTTTTCATGGTGGGTTTCTAGTTTGTTGCAACTTTTTTTCTCTGTGAAGCCAGCTGTGGACCCCTACAAAGTACAGGGCAGACGTGGCTCCAGCCTTGTGCTCTGCCACTCCTGGGTCTTTGCGTCTGAATCCACCAAGCAGTGGTCCGAGGAAGGCAGCTGTTAGTGCCTGCTGCTGCCGATCTATGCGTCTTACCTGCAGCAGTGAGGTGGGCACCTGCTAAGCATACTCAGAGCCTTGAGGTGTTGCGAGTGGTGTCAGCTTTGACAGACGTTAGCTTCCCGTGTTGACCGGAGAATCCCGGGTGGTGCTGGCAGAGACCTTCCTCGCCCTTTCCCTGGGAATGCCAGACTGGCATCATCTGGATTCCCGTTGGCTGTCTGCCGCGCCTCTTGCTTCTTACTGTGTCTTGGGGCTTGTCTGGTGGGCCGCACAGCCTCCTCGTCTTGTCCTGGGCTTGTGGGCGGGGTCACCTAGCCCTCTGCTGGGGTCTCCTGGCCCTCACCGAGTGGTTCTGGTTCAGGTGCACACTGTTCGGTGCGGTCTGACTCGTGAAGCTCTTCTAAAGGAACTGGGCTTTTGGCAGCGGCAGAAGCCCCCTTGCTTTCTTCCATTGAGTCCGCTCGAGTTTGGGCACCAGACTGTCCCTTCCTGATTAGACTTTCCAGTTGTGGTGGTTCAAGGGCATGGTTCCAGCATCCACTCTGTTCCGGTGAGGGTCCTCGGCCGTGGCACATCTGTGGTGGACGGCAGTGACGGGAGCAGGTGTAGCCAGGGCACCCTCGTGTATATTTCTCAAAGCTGCGTTCATCATGTGCTTCTGTCCAGTGAAACAGTTCTGTCCCCGCCACTTCCCTGTGCCTGTAATGCCTGCTGGGTGCCTGCTCTGTCTCCCCAGGTCCCCTAGACTGAGCAGCGTCTTCCTCTGCAGATGAGGGGCCCGAGTCTTAAGCGTTTCTGTAACTTGCCCTGGCCAGTAAGCAGGCAGGGCCAGACCATGGATTCTGACCACGTACCCTCTAACGCCGCTGCTTTGGCTTCCGGCCCTGGTTACCTTTCCCACACCTCACCGTGTTCCTCTGCTAGGTCTGCTGCCACACTAGGTAGCTTAAAGCAACAGAAGCTGTCCCCAATCCGGGCAGCTGGAAGTCCGAAGGCAGGATGTGGGCGAGACCGTGTGCCCTTTCCAGACTTTAGGGGAGTGTCCCCCTCTAGCTGGTGCCTGGCGGTGCCTAGGAGTGGTTGTCAGTCCAAGGCTGGCAGTGTCCTCACTCCAGTTTATGCTTCTGTCGTCATGTGGCCTTGTAAGGACCCCCGTCACTAGGTGCAGGGCCCAGCTCCTCTAGTGTGATGTCTTCGTAACTAAGGACATGTGAGGTCGTATTCTGAGGTTCTGAGTGGAGATGAGTGGTGGGGGCAGGGTGCTCCCAGGTCGTGACTGACTTGTAACCTGTTGCATGGTTCCACCCTGACCATGGAGGGTCCCTGTATGGTTGCTTCAAGGAAGGTAACACAGACGCCTTGGCGGGCTGTGATAAGGCCTTTGTGCTGTGCCAGGACAGCCGTGTTGGAGAGGGGGCTTCACGTGCGTGGCCTAACCCAGACAGGGTGTCCAGCTCTTGAGAACTGACGAGAGACAAATGTGTCTGCTTAATCCATCCTGAAGTAATATCATTAGTATCTGCATTTCTTAGAAAAAAATCTCTATTTATGGTTTCATTCCATCTCTAGTTCTGATACTGCGCTTAAGTTTCTGGAGACCTTTTGTTAGCATTTTAGTTTTGTTCAGCAAATCCCTGAAGCAGAGAGGTCAGGTGAATTTAGCTTTCCGGGCTGCCTGGTCCTGGTGTGTTCTCTTGTGTTCTGGTCGTTGAAGTATGATGCTTTGTCTCAGGGAAGTTTGAATGTACACGTAACAGGAGACAAATGTAAACACCGTGTTTCTTCAGGTAACTCTGATGTCTTCATTTTTTTTTTTTTTTTAGAGTATTTATTTTATTTAAAAGAGTAACAGAGAGTGAGAGAGAGCACTTCCATTCACTGGTTCACTCCCCAAGTGACTGCAGTGGCCATAGCTGGGCCAGACCTAAGCCAGGATCCAGGAGCTGCTTTTGGGTCTTTCGTTGTGGGTAACAGGGGCCCAAGCACTTGGGCTATCCTCTACCGCTTTCCCAGGTGCATGAGCAGAAGTTAAATGGGAAGTGGAGCAGCCAGCACTCAGACCTGTGCCCATATGTGTTGCTGGCACTACAGGCTGCAGTTTAACCCACTGTGCCCCGTGCTGGCCCCGATGTCTTCATTTAAATGGTTCTTTTCTGAATAGGTCGGCCTAGGGGAGGCACTCCTGGAGGCGGAAACCATTGAAGAGCAAGAATCTCCGGTTAATTGCTTTAGAAAGTTATTTGGTAAGGTACTTTGTATCTCACACCACCTTCTTAGTGAAAGCAGCATGTGCTGGGGTGCTGGGGTGTTGGGGTCCGTGTGCTGTCAGCAATGAGGTCGTCGTGGAAAGCACTGGAGCTCCTCCTGTTATGGGATGTCGTTTATCTTGCCATCAGTCCAGACGGCGTTTTAAATGACCTCTACGTGTTTATGATGGAATATTTGTTATCTCTGAAAGAATGTATGTAGCCACCTGTGTACGGAGGAAGCATAATAAATAGTAGGTGGCTGAGCTGGCTGCTACTGTGAGAACCACACCCTTCCCTGACAGAGGGCTGGCCTCGGGGGCTCCTTGCTGACCCCATCTGCTGGTGTTCCCTCGCACTTGGAAAATAAAATGATCTTTTTCGCCCATATAGTTAATTTTTATTTTTTTTAAATTTTAATCAGAGAGAGAGAAAGTGTGTGCACACAAGTGACCCCACCTGCTGGTTTGCTCCCCAGAGGCCTGCACCAGTGGAGACTGGGTCTGGGTGAAACCAGGGCCCAGGACCTCAACCCAGGTTTCCTCCTTGGGTGGTGGGGCCCACCTCTGTGAACCATCACCTGCTGCCTCCCAGGGTCTGCGTTAGTTGGAAGCCAGAATGTGGAGTAAAGCTGGGAGCTGAACTCAGGCGTTCTGATCTGGGATGTGGGTATCTTAGTCACTGGGTTGAAAGCCTGCCCTGTCCCCTGCTATGCATTTTAGGTGCTACCTGAAATGAACTCAGAAATAAATGTGGTCTTTGCCAGACCCCTAGGGTGGACAACCTCACCGGCTTTTTCTTCTCTTTCCCCTTGAACAGTTTGTGATGTCCTTCCTCTCATAATCAACAACCACGATGTTCGATTGCCTGCCAATTTGTTATATAAGTACTTGAACAAGGCAGCTGAGTTTTATATCAATTACGTCACTCGGTCTACTCAGGTAGAAAGTCAGCATCAAGGTAAGTGGGTGTCTCCTGCAGCTTCCCTCAGAAAGGCTTTAAAGTGAAACTGCAGATTCTCCTCCCTGGGGTGCAGCCAACTCGACAGTCCTTCCAAAGGGCGGTGTCTAGACGACACTGTTCTGGGAGCCGTTCCGCCCCTCGGTCCGCACCGTCTGCTCCCTGAGCTTGGGCTGCTCATGTGCCACAGTTCACAGCTCACTTCCTGCTGAGGCCTGTGGCCATGGGTGGGTCCTTGAGTGAAGTACACACACCCCTTAGTGACAGTGCCACTTTGGAGACGTGCGTTGTTAGGGGATTTTGTTGCGTTGGCATCAAAGTGTGTACTTCCACAAACCTTGGTGGTGTAGGCCAAAGAGCGTAGCCTGTGGCTCCTGCGCCACGATACTGTACAGCCTGTTGGTTGTACTGCATGCTGCAAGCAGCTGTAACACCATCCTCTGTATCTGTACGTATCTAAACGTAGAAAAACCTGGAAGATGGAAAATGGGACCTCTCAGGGGGCGTTCCCATCATGAAAGGTGCAGGACTGGAAGTGGTGAGTGACTGAGGGCCCACCACCGTGTCCTGTACACACACTGGACTCTTAAGCTGCGTGACACAGAGACGTTGTTTTTTCTTTCTTCCATAATAAATTAGCCTTAGCTTACTGTAACATTTTTACTTTGTAAACTTGAAATTTTTAAAATTCTTCTAAAATATAAACACATAGTTGGACAGAAATGTTTCACTTCTTTATGTCCTTATTCTGTAAATTGTCTTCTATTAAATTTGTGGGTTTTTTTCTTTTTTAAAAAACACTGAGACACAGAGACACGAGCCTAGAGCCGCACAGGGTCAGGGTCACCGTCACAGTCTCCCGTCTCCATGTCCCGTGCACTACGAGGTCTTCAGGGACTGGCGTCTCCTTTGACATGTGTCCATACATGCATCCATAGTGCTGTGTGTGCTGTGTGTCCTTCTTTCCACCACGGGTTTGCTTGGAGGCAGATAGTGCACCGTGAACCTTCTTTATTAAGGAAAACCACTTGGCGCTGGGCTCCAGGGTCTTCAGACTTTTTAAGGAGCTGGTTGAGGTCTGCCGAAGCTTCTGCTAAACCCTTTGCTGGGAACTTTTCTTAAATTTTATTTTCCTTTTTCTCCTTCTGCAGTTCCTTTTCTCTTGCTGCTTCTTCAGCTTTGTGTCCACAGGGTTGCGGGGACCTTCCAGATATTACAGCGTTAGGGGACCCCCGTGGTATGTGCAGTCCGTCACTGACCAGGCGCGTGACGGTCATGTGCCGGGGTTCCGGGCCCTTGTGTGTATTTCAGGCACCGCGCTGTGTGGTAAGTACTCACACGATTGTCCTGCTGCCATTTTCTCACACCCCAGGTGCCCAAGATGCATCTGACTTGGTGTCACCCAGCAAACGGAGCTCTCAGAAGTACGTCATAGAAGGGCTGACCGAAAAGTCATCCCAGATCGTGGACCCCTGGGAGAGGTTGTTTAAGATTCTGAATGTCGTCGGAGTGAGATGCGAGTGGCAGATGGACAAAGGAAGACGGTAATAAACGATTGATTTTGAAATTGCCAATCAAATCATTTATTCCCATAATCTCAGGATCCTTGTGAGCAACAAAGAACACTTTTTAAAAACTGTGTAATTAGTGCATAGGCACACTTCTCTTAGGGCAAATTTCATTTCATTTATTTATTTAAGAGGTAGAGTTACAGAAAGAGAGAGAGATACTCCATCCACTGGTTCACTCTCCAGATGGCCACAACGGCCGGATCTTTGTGGGTCCAAAGCCAGGAGCCAGGAGCTTCTTCCAGGTCTCCCATGCAGGTACAGGGGCCCAAGCACTTGGGCCATCTTCTGCTGCTTTCCCAGGGCATAGCAGAGAGCTGGATCAGAGGCGGAGCAGCTGGGACTTGACCCGATGCCCATGTGGGATGTTGGTGCCGCAGGCAACAGGCTTGCACATATTCTAACACTCTAAATAAGTGAAAGAGAGCAGGTTTTTCTCTTGGTCAAGAGATTCCTGGTGGAAGTATGAACCCTGCAGGTGACTTGAAGGTGAAGCACTCCTCGGTGGTTCAGGGCAGAGATGCTTCTTGGCACATCAGTGTCCTGAGAGCTTGGTGTGCTCTGACTCAGAAGGGGAGATGTGTCACCGGCATGGGGACAGTGAAGAGTCGCTGTGCTTGCGCAGAGCTGCATTTGGTGATGGTTCTGCGAGAGCTGTCCTTGACCCTTGCCCTGACAACGTCCAGGGTACGTGACTTTGCCATCCTTTGTCTTTCAGAAGCTATAGTGATATCCTGCATAGGATGAAGGATCTCTGCAGATACATGAATAACTTTGATAACGAAGCGCACGCAAAATACAAAAACCAAGTAGTCTATTCCACCATGCTGGTCTTCTTCAGGAACGCATTCCAGTATGTCAACAGCATCCAGCCGTCTCTCTTCCAAGGTTGGTGCGTGCTTCAGAGGCTGAACCACTGGTTTGTTAGGGGTGGTGAGAGGGACAGAAACATTTCCTTTTTTCTTTTAAGATTTATCTATTCATTTGAAAGGCAGAGTTAGAGAGAAAGAGACACAGATCTTCCTCTGCTGGTTCACTCCGTAAATGACTGCAATGGCCAGGGCTGGACCAGGACAAAGGCAGGAGCCAGGAGCTTCATCCAGGGCTCCTAGGTGGGTGCAGGGGCCCAAGTACTTGGGCCATCTTCCACTGCTTTCCCAGGCACATTAGCAGGGAGCTGGATCAGAAAGGGAGCACCTGCAAGCCGGCGCTGCAGCTCACTAGGCTAATCCTCCGCCTTGCGGCGCCGGCACACCGGGTTCTAGTCCCGGTCGGGGCGCCGGATTCTGTCCCGGTTGCCCCTCTTCCAGGCCAGCTCTCTGCTATGGCCCGGGAGTGCAGTGAGGATGGCCCAAGTGCTTGGGCCCTGCACCCCACAGGAGACCAGGAGAAGCACCTGGCTCCTGCCTTCGGATCAGCGCAGTGCGCCGGCTGCAGTGTGCCAGCCGCGGCGGCCATTGGAGGGTGAACCAATGGCAAAGGAAGACCTTTCTCTCTGTCTCTCTCTCTCTCACTGTCCACTCTGCCTGTCAAAAAAAAAAAAAAGGGAGCAGCTGGGACTCGAACTGGCGCCCTTAGGGGATGCTGGTGCTGCAGGCTGTGGTTTAACCTGCTATGCCACAGCAGTGGTCCCTAGAAATGTTTTCTTTGACCTTTGCTGTTGTGCCCAGATAACTGCAGGGTGGTAGTTATGGTTGGTTTAGTTTGGCTTAGTTGGTAGTTTCTAATGTAGGTACGTTTTCTCTAAAAGTGTCTGTGCAAAAGGTACTCTGAAATGAGATGAAAGCATTGCATGCCTTTATTTTGAGAAAACAGCAGGTAAAGCTAAGCACTGAGGTAGATTTCACCAAGATATCACAATGGGCAAAGATTTTCCAAGTATGATGAGTCATATATATGTATGTACATTTGTGTACGGTGTGCACATATGTTCTAGAAAGTTTGAGAACTAGAAATAAGAGGATGAGACCACCCACGATCCTCCAGCCATAACACAGCTTTCATTTTTATGTTTTGCCTTACAGTTTTCCGTGGACTCTGATTTTGTTTGGAATTTGTAATTATGGTGCAGGTGTAGTTTTATAGTGATTGTATGATGGGTTCACAATTCTTGATTAGAGCAAATGCAAAGAAGAAACTGTCACTTGTGCCCCCCCCCCCCGAGGGAGCTGTTTGGTGTATCTGTACAGTGCTTTTTTGTAAACCTGTGAATTTGTTCATTTCCCTGTACTCATATGGGACGTATTTTAAATGACCTTTGTTTTTACACGCAGTTGGAGTCGGCATCCTTCTGGAGTTAGGTATTCTTCCCCTTGCCACATTTGTCTATTTTTTTTTTCCTTTTGGTTTCCAAGTTTTATTCAAGCACTCATACAGAGTATTCCAGATAAATGAGTTTTAGTTGTCGTCTTCGTCCTCTTCTTGGTTCTGGTTCATCTGGAAGTATCGCAGTTCATCACTCTCTTTGCTGTCAGCAACGGCGCACAACCAGTCACCTAGGTGGTTCCTCGTCAGATACTGTTTGGTGCCGAGTTTCAAATACCTTTTGGAAAAAGGCACCCCGGAAGTCACGGTGCTCTTGCTGCTTCTGGCGGGTCCAACCCTGCACCGCGACGCCAGCTTTCCCCCTCAGATTGCTTCTCTCTGCTCACATGGGCGGCACCGCTGTTCTTCTCCTGCAGGGTGGGTGCCGTCGAGCGTGACCTTCGGAAGTTGGTTCTGTTTGTTTTTGCCCGGCTTCACCACCAGTGTCTTTAGGGGGCCTGGCGGCAGCGGAGACAAAAAACCTCCCTGCTGTGTTTCTGAGTGTTGCTGTTTTCGGCCATCTGTAGGTCCTAACGCCCCAAGCCAGGTCCCACTGGTTCTTCTCGAAGATGTCTCTAATGTCTACGGCGACGTGGAGGTTGACCGCAGTAAACACATACACAAGAAGAGGAAGCTAGCCGAGGGCCGAGAGAAAACCATGGTAAGCCTTCCACATGGGATTGGTATCAGGTAGATGTTTGTGGTTCGCTGGACGTGAATCTTTGCAAAATGCAGCTTTCTGTAAAGCTTGGGCTTTAAAATTACAGAATGCAGCTGCTGTGTACATTAGTGGTTCTCATCTCAATAAGAGGTGACTCCCCCCCCCCAACCCCGCCCCACAAGGAGACATTTGGCCATTTCTGATGACATCTAATTGTCAAGGCTTCATAGGGTAGGGTGGGTATTGTCAGCATCGAGTGGGTGCTGGTGACCATCCCACAGGGCACAGGACAGCCCACAAGGTCGGCAGTGATGGGGCTGGGAGACCCCCTCCCCCCCATAACTGTTTTCTGCATCTTTGAACTGACGACGTTGGTTAGGTAAATGTAAGCCAGAATGAGAACCGCGCTGCCGTCCGGCTGGAGCTGGGGACTGTGGTGGTTCTGGGCTCAGGATGCAGAGCCGCGGGTATTCAGAGCCCAGGCAGCCCGAGGAGAAAGGCAGGAGAGGTTCTGGCGTTTTTCGGTTGAAGTTGGGAGGTAGGTTTTATGGAGCTGCAAGAGGCCGGAGAAGGAGGAGGTTCGGCCGTCCCCCGGCTGTGCCCCGTGGCCGGCTGGTCCGGGCCGGTGATTCCCAAGCTTCGTGTAAATTAAATCTTTGATGGCGGCCCCAGGTGTAAGAGGAAAATGGAAATGGCCTTGTCTGGCACCGTGGTGGCACGTTTCTCCTAAGTGGCTGGGCGATAAGTGTCCTCCACTTTGCAGGCCACGGGGTCCCTGTCCTAGCGGCTCGGGGCTGCTGTCATAGGGCAGAGATGTCTGCAGGCACCGCGGGAACAAGTGACAGCGTGGCTTCCAAAGACGTGTGGAGGGCAAGACCCAAGGGAGCCAGGGGCCACACCCTCTCACCCCTACCAGCCTTCATCCTCTTCGTCCTCAAGGAATGTTCTGGGTGCTGGGCGGGAAGGGGGCCGTCTGTGTGGACCCTGACAGTGTGGAGGAGGAATCGACCTGGGAAGGCACCTGCTGTTCCGAGTGCTTGGAAGGTTATGAACCCATCTGATAAGTGCTCGTTTGAGTTGCTTCTTCCACTGACTGGCAGATGCACGCATGCACAGTTGTGCTGGTGATCGCCTTATGGCTGAGAACCCTGCCTGGCCGGCTCTCCCAGGTGTCCCGGTCCACTCTTTCCTCCTCGCCTGACCGTCCCAGGTTGGGTAAACCTCAGAGCTCCCTTCTGGGCCTTCCAGGTCCTCCTCCCAAGGCCCACAGTCGTCTCTGCTTCCAGGTGGATGCACAGCTTGTGTATTTCCAGTTTCAACTGACAGTCGTGACGTGTTCCCCCAAGACTCAGGACATGTAACGTGGCCCCAGCCCCTGCCTGCTTCAAGCTGTCCTCTCCTTCCTGGAAGAGTCAGGTTGCCTCCCCACTGTCCTCCTTGGGCCCCGTGGACTCTTCTCCACCCAGACCCGAGCTGGATGTCACTCCCCTGCTTCACCACCTCTGATGGCGTCCACCCTGCTTAGACCAGGCCTGGACCCTGCAGAGCACTTCCCGGCAGGCCCACCCGTGCCTCTCGGAGGCCCCCCAGACACCCACCTCCATGGTTTTCAGTTTTCTGCATTGCCACCACCGGTGTCCCTCGGCTGGCTCACTGTGTGTCCCTTCACCAAGTGCAGGCTCCATGTGACCGAGGACTGTCAGTGTTGCCCCCACCACTGTCCCAGTGACTTGTGTACCTGCAGTTGCCTAGCAACCAGGTGAGTCCTGCAGGCCATCGTAACCTGGCACCACGGCCTTGGGGTGCCTGCTCTTCCTCCGTGTCTTGGCTGTCATGTGCCTGCCCTGCAGCGCTGTTCCGGAACTCTGGCTGCGATCTGCACCCATTTCTGTTCTCGCTTTCTTAACCGAGCCCAGGCTGCTTGTCACTCCACCCCACAGCCTGCCCCCATCTGGCTCAGCTCACTACTGCCTGTGCTGTCAACTGCAGAGGGTGTGCCGGGCGACCCTGAGCTCAGCCCTCAGCCGTATCCTGCTTTGCTCTCAGTGCTCTCAGAATAAGCTAGCATTTCTTGTGGCCAGTAGGGTTTCTGTCGTCACCAGAGTATGTGTCATCACTGGGCCCTGATGGTGGCCCTTGCTGGTGCTCGCATCAGGTAGAGCCCTGTCCTCCTCTGTCCCCAGGACGAGGTGTGCCAGGTGGCATCCTCTCTGGGCTGTGTGTCCAGCTGGTGCACGCAGTGCGTGTGCCCTGCAGGTAGGAGTCTCCCCTCAGAGCATGGCCCCAGAGCGTGCTCTTGTATTTCAGAATTGGCTCTCTGAATTCCACAAAGGGTATGGAGTTCCACAGCTCTCCCACCACCCCGAGGGTCCTTTCATAGATTACTGGTCTCATTTTGAGGCAACCCTCAGGTGAGGCTGTGATGAGGGTGTGCCACTGGTGTCAGGCGACAGGGCCTGCTGACACAGGGTGCCCGGCAGGTAGGTTTTGATTGTGAGAGGCCTTGTGTTGCTGCTGAGAGGGAGAAGAGGGGATCTGGGCGCTGGGGGGACAGCAGGAGGATGCTGAGCTCTGGTGGGGATGGGGGAAGGCGGCGGGTCGTGGCAGGAGAAGGGACTGAAGACCTGTGCCCATCCTGGCTGGGATGAGCTGGGTGAATGGAGCTTTTAGCTAAAGTATTTGGGCATTTGTTGTTGTTGTTGTTTGTTGGTTGGTTGGGTTTTGTTTGTTTGTTTTTATTCACGAGCCAGACAGAGACAGCCAGCCAGCTTCCATCCTCTAGTTCATATTCCGGATGCTGAGAACAGCTGGGGCTTAGCTAGGGCTGGAGCAGGAACTAGGCATTCAACCCCGGTCTCCTGCGTACTTGGTCGCCTGCTGCCTCCCAGGGGTTGATGCAGGAAGCTGGAGCCAAGTCAGACGTGGGAACTTAACCCAGACACCTAGCTGAGATCCTCACTGCTAGACCAAACACCGACCATTGAACGTACTTAAGAATTGTACTAGTGACATTACAAATAAAAATGCTACAGGAAGAATTTCAGTTGAATCATTGAAATTATAAAATGAAGTGGAATGAAAGATTCAGGAAATTCTCAGCAAAATTTTTTACCCTTTTTACCCTTTCTGGTTTTGACCAGATGTCCCACCAGACCTGGTGGCATTCACAGTTGTCATTTCTCAGCAACCCTCTCTTTTCTCTGGCTTTTTAAAAGTTCATTTATTTTTTATTTGAAAGGCACAGTTAGAGAGAGAGAGATATTCCATCCTCTGGGTCATCCCTAAGTGTCTGGGGCTAGAGCAAGCCAGAGCCAGGAGCTTCATCTGGGTCTCCCATGTGGGTGGGAAGGGTTCAGGTCCTTTGGATTCTCTTCGGCTTTCCCGGGGCCGTTAGCAGGGAGCTGAATGGAAAGTGGCGCAGCCAGGACTTGAACCAGCGCCATTATGAGATGCTGGCATTGCAGGCAGCGGCCTAACCTGCTGCACCACAACGCTGGCCCCTTCTCTGGCTTTGTGTTACTTAAAGATACGCAGCAAGAAAAGTGCAAATCTTTCCTGTTGATACACAGGGCATCGCCCGGACGCCTGCACTGGGGGAGCAGGTGCCTGCAGTAGCTGGGGCTGGGCCAGTGGGGAGGCATGTGTGCCACGGGCAGAAGGCCAGTGCCAGCCATTTCCCTGCCACTGGCCTGCAGGGACCCAGCTTTGCTGTCATGCCACTACATGACAAGCCATTATCGGGAAGCCAATTAAGTAGTGGCCTACGTTGGGAGGAAAAATGCAAAACTGTTGAACAGGTGCCACCATGGCCATCTCTCAGTGTAAAAATCTAATTTGGGGCTTTATGAAATTGATGTTTGAAATGATCACAAAATCTGTCTGTGTTATCCCTGCCCTAAAGCCAGCGTGAGAAGTCAGCATCAGAGAAAAAGAACCTGAATTGTAAAAGGGAAAACTGAACGCGAGTACAAAGATGAAAGACTTAGACTAATTTGTGGAGCTGAGTTGTTAAGTCCAAAGAAATTGTCCAGCATTCATGTTGTGTCCTGAGCTGTGCCTTCCGTGTGGTGGGCGGAGCTGGCGGTGGGAAGAGGCTCAGAGTGCCAGTCAGTGTCTGAGCGGGCCTGTGACTTGGAGTTAACTGTGCCGTTTGTGTTCCTGAAGCAGAGTTCAGACGATGAGGACTGTTCCAGCAAAGGAAGGAACCGCCACATTGTCGTCAACAAGGCCGAGCTTGCCAACTCTGTGGAAGTGCTGGAGAGCTTTAAGCTGGCCAGGGAGAGCTGGGAGCTGCTCTACTCCCTGGAGTTCCTTGACAAAGGTGAGGATGTGCCTGCCGTACTTGTGCTGTTTTATTTTAAATTTTATTTACTTATTTATTTGCAAGTATGACACAGAAAGAGAGAGAGATCTTGCCATCTGCTGGTTCACTTGCCAGATGCCTACAATAGCTGGGGTTGGACCAGGCTAACACCAGGAGGCAGGAACTCCATCCAGGTCTCCCACAGAGGGGCAGGGGCCCAGTACTTGGGCCGTCCTGTGCTGCCTCCCAAGTGCGTTCACAGGAACCTGGGCGGGAAGCAGAGGCAGGACTCTATTCCAGGCACTCCTGTAGGGGATACAGGTGGCGGGGGCGGGGGGCGGGGGCGGCTTCACCAGCTGCACCATGATATCCTTCCATCGTGCTGTTTAATTTTTTAAATAGAGTCGTTATGCTACCAAAAAAAATCATGCTACTTGAGACGTCCAGTCACCTGTGGCTAGTGAAGTTGGTCACAGAGCACACGTTTTCTTGAACAGTCAGTGACACTCAAGTCCCATTCTCCCCTTAGCCTGACGTGCAGTCTTCTAGCACTGGGCCTGGGCGGAGTTCCAGGGAGACTTTTTGATCCGTCCTGGAGACACTTTTATTGCCGGCCTCGTGTTTCTTGGAGGGTTTGTTTGTTTCATGCTTTGAGTTGCCCTCTCGCACTGCTTTGAGACAGGGATTCAAAAGGGACTGCTGTTTTATCTGCACCAACTGCCTTGCACCGAGTCCGACAGCCCTGGAAAGCCTGTTTTCCTCTGAGCTTAGACAGAAAACCAGAGGGGGTTTTACCACGTGGCATGGAAGCTGTCATCCCAGCACCACTCAGACAGTGCTGCACTTTGTGGAGGCAGAGCCTGTTGCTGTGCAGGTGGCCGTGGACACTCCTCCCCCGGCCCCTGTCACAGGCCGGGCCGAGTGCTGGGGCAGTGAGTCCTGTGGTCTTTGCCGAGTACAGACAGCATCATTCAGCGTCTGTCTCCTGTTACTGTGAACACGTGTGTGGCTTTCTGTTGAGGAGGGAAGAGTTTTCTGTAGCTGTGAATTGACGTTTAATGAATAAGTAAAGCCTTTTAGTGTCATTGTGTGTACATGATCGTAACTGGGCAGACACCCAGTGGGACCTCTGTAGGAAAAGTGGAGCTGTGTAAAAGATACATGAAGTGACCCGTGAAAAGCGCGTGCACGGCCCCTGGCGTGTGGTGGTGCCTAGTGAGTGGCAGTGCCTCTAAGTGGTGCACACTGACCGGAGCACAGTGCTGGAAATCCGCTTGCAGTTCCTGTCCAGTCATTGGTCCCTCGTCTCCATTGCACTCTGGCTGGGTGTGCTAGCTTTGTCTTATTTCTGTGGTGCATAGTTTTGACGGATTTGCTTTTGAATTCTCAGAATTCACAAGAATTTGCTTGGCCTGGAAGACAGACACTTGGCTTTGGCTGAGAATCTTCCTCACCGACATGACCATCTACCAGGTAACATCGCGTGTGTCTCGGGCCCCGGCAGCTGCTGCTCCTGTGGGCCGCTGTGCTGTTTCTCCCTGACAGCTGTTCTGTCCGTAGGGGCTGGTTCACCCCAGTGCCAGAGCCGTACCTTCTGTGTCACTGCCGGCACCACCAGCACTCCCCTCTGCCCAGTGCGGCTCTTAGTTCTCTCCCCAGCCGTCTCCTCTGGTGCAGTCCTGTCTCTGCCCCTGCAAACTCACAGTGAGGTCACTACTTCCACTTGTCACCAGGGAGTCGTGGTGTTAGTAGCCTAACATTTCTGTGGAAGTGCTATATGCAAACTGTGCTGTGTCAGCCGGCCATGTATTTTGTGTAGTCCGCAGAGGGGAGACCAGAAAGAGAAGTCTGTAAGGAATTTCCCTAGCTTTAAGTCAGTTTGAGCCCGTGGCTGTCTCTTTTGGCCTCCGCATACAGTCGGGGGAGGTGCCTTATTCCCCATGGTCATGGCTTCGTTTAGCCCAGGAGGTTTTTGGCTCTCTCTGACCGCCCCTTCTTTTCCCTCCTTGCCGTTCTTCCTAAGGGTCAGTATAAAAAGGCCATCGCCAGCCTGCACCACTTAGCGGCTCTCCAGGGATCACTTTCGCAGCCCCAGATCTCGGGCCAGGGCACCTTGGAACATCAGAGGGCGCTCATCCAGCTGGCCACCTGCCACTTTGCCCTGGGGGAGTGCAGGGTAAGTGCCCCTGCGGGGTTTGCATTCATCCACCGTGGCTGCACCTGGATCTTGCTGCTGGTGAACCATGATGTGTTACTGAATTGTCTCTTCCTTTCAGACTGCCTGCTTACTGTTTCATTGTGTGGGAGGGTTGTTTTTTTTATATGCTTTCTTTGAATCCCTTTAAGATGTAGTTAGTTCTGCTGTCGACAGGAAGAAGAGGCTGTGTTAAGTGGGCCCTGGGGGACTTGATTTCGCCTGTCCGAAGTTCAAATTCTCTGTGTGGTGCTGACCGCTGATTTATACACGGTCAGTTTCCTCTGAGATTGTGAGCCCCTCCCACTAGAGGTGGGGACCTTCTCTCACAGCACCTGCCACAGTGGCTTGCATAATGTAATGCACGGTAAATGTATGAATTCAGCAGGAATAAGGGTGGTTTTTTGTGTACATAGGTCGTGTTGAAATTCAAGGCCACAGGTGTTGGTTTCTTCATACCTGTGTGTTAAGTTGATGCTTTCTAATCTGTTTTCATGGTTTGCCATGATGATTTTTGGAAAGGCATTTGGCGAGAGTATGTGGAATATGTCTGTTTACAACTGAAAATGTTTCTCTGCCACCATTCATGGAATTACAAGGCAGCTAGTCCTGAATTTCAGGAAATGCCCTTTTGAGGATTGAAAGGAGAGCGTCTTGTGTTTACCCAGGCCTATGTCCCGTGTGTGGTGGGCTGGGCAGGGCCTGGCTGTCCTGCACTCTGGTGGGGACTATGAGGTAAACTGGCAGATTGCATTAAAGGAGGGCTTCCCGTCCCACCTCTGAGCCGGTGACTGTCAGGCCTGGTGTCCAGTGGAAGCTCTATGGTTGCTGAGACCCCGACTGCCAGCTCTGAGCAGCCACGCGCACATTCTTTTCTGGCCTGGCCAAGACGTGAGAAAGCTTGGGAAGTGCGGGCGTGAAGCCCACTCCGCTGTGCCTGGGGCAGCAGCGGCTCTGCAGCTGGAATCCGGCGTGGTCACTGAATTAGTGTAGACAGACAGTGATCTAGAGCGTGGCCTGCACCGTGTCGCTCAGCCGCCACACCTGCTGTCCCCTGCACGTGGGTCACCTATACCTGGGCGCAGCCCTTCCCATGCCCTTCTCTCAGCCTTGTTGCAGCTCCTGCCTGCTTTAGGGCCTCAGTGGAGGAGGCTGGCTCAGCCTGAGTGAGTCTCACCAGGGTTCAGGTGGCACTCCACACTGTGGAATCCCCTCGTGTGCATCTCTCTTGTTAGTTTTCCATTCACAGAGTGAGCAGCCGACTTCAGGTCAGGCAGGGGCGTCCTTGAGCGGGCCACTGTGCTCCAACACCTGGGTGTTACTACCTGATTGCTTTCTACGTCGTGTTCGCTTGGTCTTTTTAACAGCCACGGCTGGGTTATTGTTCCCTGCGTGTGGTGTGTGGATTTAATCTTCTGTGACTTTCTGTGTGTTCACCGTCAAGTGGACAGGAAGGAGCCCTGGGAAGGGGGCACAGTGCAGGCAGAGTCAGAGGACCATGTGCTGCAGGTGCCGTGCTGTCCGTTCGCTCGGTTTCAGTGCAGAAAGCCTCAGATTAGCGCCCTGTGGTCTTCTCATCTTCAGATGACGTGTGAGAAAGTGCTGGATTTGATGTGCTACATGGTGCTCCCCATCCAGGACGGAGGCAAGCCGCAGGAGGAGCCCTCAAAAGTGAAGCCCAAGTTCAGAAAAGGTACAGCGGCCACTGTATTGTTATTTTTTTTATTTGAAAGTCAGAGTTACACAGAGAGCGAAGGAGAGGCAAAGAGAGAGAGAAGGAGAGACAGAGAGAAAAGTCTTCCATCCGTTGGTTCACTCCCCAGTTGGCCGCAAAGGCTGGAGCTGCACTGATCCGAAGCCAGGAGCCAGGAGCTTCTTCCAGATCTCCCACATGGGTGTAGGGGCCCAAGCACTTGGGCCATCCTCTACTGCTTTCCCAGGCCATAGCAGAGAGCTGGATTGGAAGTAGAACAGCCAGGGCTTGAACTGGTGTCCATATCGGATGTGGTGCAGGCTTTACCCACTGCACCACAGCGCCGGCCCCTTGTTGTTTTGCTAAGGATGGCTGGCGACCCTAGGCGGAGGGCTCATGCTCAGGCCCGATGATGTGGTGCTGCGCAGGCTATGTGAACAGTGCTTCGCTCTCCAGATCGGAGTCCTTGGCTCTGACTGCCTGAGCACCTGTGAGTCTCTGTCTCTCCCTAAGCCCTCTTCACTCCTGAATGTGTTACCTCTTTGAAGAATGGCAGGGAGCTCTTTGCAGTCCTTAGCAATTCTGGGAAAACTTCCAATTGAATCATTAGGAAAGATCTAGCGTATCCCTCTAGCACCATTTTGAGCTCCCTCAAGTTTCATCTGGCTTTGCCAAACTAAACTGCTGGCTAATGTAAGTTTCCACCTTAAAAGTTGGAAAAAGCTAATAAGTTAAGCTTGAAAGAAGTAGAAAGCAAGAAATAATAATACCAGATTAATGAAATAGAAAATGAGTAAAGTCAGGTTGTTTTTTGAAACAAATTTATGGAACTGGTAAACTCCTAAGGAGAAGAGTGAAAGAGGTAGTGTCACCACAGATCCTGCTGACAGGGGAAAGTTCCTTGAAAAACCCATCAAATCTGACTGGAAAATCTGAATGTCCTTTTTCTGTTAAAGCAATTAAATTTATTGTCAGAAACCTTCCCAAGGCCGGCATTGTTGCGTAGGGGGTTGAACTGCTGCCTGTGACACTGACATCCCATATGGCACCGGTTAGAGTCCCATCTGCTCCACTTCTGACCCAGCTCCCTGCTAATGCACCTGGGAAAACGGCGGAGGATGGCCCAAGAGCTTGGGCCCTTACCCCTACATGGGAGACCTGGTTGAAGCTCCAGGCTGCTGGCTTTGGCCTAACCCAGTCCCAGCAGTTGCAGCCATTTGGGGAATGAACCAACTCATGGAAGATCTCTCTCTCCATAACTGCCTTTCAAATAAATAAATAAATCTTTAGGGGGAAAAAAAAAACCTTTCTGGAAAGAAAACTCCAGATCCGGATGGCTTCACGGTGAATTCTGTCTAGAATTGGAGAGGTGGCAGCACTGGCCCTACACCGGCTCTGAGAAAGAGGAGTAGTCCAGTTCTTTTTTAAGACCAATATAAGGCCAGCGCCGTGGCTCAATAAGCTAATCCTCCGCCTGCAGCGCCAGCACACCAGGTTCTAGTCCCGGTCGGGGCACCGGATTCTGTCCCGGTTGCCCCTCTTCCAGGCCAGCTCTCTGCTGTGGCCTGGGAGTGCGGTGGAGGATGGCCCAGGTCCTTGGGCCCTGCACCCCATGGGAGACCAGGAGAAGCACCTGACTCCTGGCTTCGGATCAGCGCAGTGCACCGGCCGCAGCGTCTGGGCCGCGGTGGCCATTGGAGGATGAACCAATGGCAAAGGAAGACCTCTCTCTCTCTCACTGTCCCCCCCCCCCCAAAAAAAAAAAAAAACAATATAAGAACCCCGATAGCAAAACCAGGCAGGAGCATTCATTGCAAGGAAAGAGCAGTGAGGACCGGTACCCACTGTGAACCTGTGAACACAAGTGCTTGTAATATTTGCTAGTGAATATATAAGGATTACTTATGACCAACTATACCAGGTGGTTTAACACGAAAAGCAGTGTAATTTGCCACAATAGCAGACGAAAGGAGAAGACTCTGGGTTATTTTGAGAGACGCCCACAGAATTCAATGCGTGAGGTGGATGCTGTGGCCCAGTATTAGAGTGTTAGTTCACGTACTGGCTGCTCTGTTTCCAACGCAACTTCCTGCCAGTGAATTCCAGGTAGCTGCAGTGATGGCTCAAGTACTCCAGCCTGGCCTGTGCCAGCCACAGACAATACCTAGATGGATTTCCCAGCTCTGTCACGGGATGCCAGTGTACAGGTGGCAGCTTAACCCACTGTGCCACAACACTGGCCTCTCAGCATTGTTTATACAAGTGAGGAATTGGAGCTCTCTGTATCTGCCATAAAGAGACTGGATTGGCCAATTGTGGTGTACATAAACAACAGGTCACGCTCTGGGGTGCTTCAGAAAGTGTGTGAAAAATACAAATTATTGGCCGGCGCCGCAGCTCCCTAGGCTAATCCTCCGCCTGCTGCACCAGCACCCCGGGTTCTAGTCCCAGTTGGGGCGCCAGTTCTGTCCCAGTTTTCCTCTTCCAGTCCAGCTCTCTGCCGTGGCCCGGGAAGGCAGTGGAGGATGCCCCAGGTCCTTGGGCCCCTGTACCGGCATGGGAGACCAGGAGGAAGCACCTGGCTCCTGGCTTCGGATCAGCGCAGCGTGCCAGCCATAGCGGCCATTTGGGGGGTGAACCAATGGAAGGAAGACCTTTCTCTCTGGCTCGCTCTCTCTCTCACTAACTCTTCCTGTCAAAAAGAAAAAAGAAAAATACAAATTATGAAAAAGGCTATGCATGCATTTCAAGGTTTTTTTGTACCAAAAACTTTTTTAAAAAGGGATTCTTATTTATTTATTTGAAAGGCAGAGTGACAGAGAGAGAAGGAGAGACAGAGATCTTCCACCCGCTGGCTGGTTCACTCCCCAAATGACCACAAACAGCTGGGACTGGACCAGGCTGAAGCCAGGAGGCAGGAGCTCCATCCTGGTCTCCCACATGGTTTGCAGGGGCCCAAGGTCTTGGGCCCTCCGTCTTCCTCTGCTTCCCAGGCACATAAGCCAGGAGCTGGATCGAAAACACAGCACCCAGGACTCCAACTGGCACTCACATGGTAATACCACTGTTGTAGGCAGTGGCTTAACCCTCTGTGCCACGATGCCAGCCCCCAAAATAAGCTTTTTATTTTTTTATCTTTTATTTGGAAAGCAGAGTTAGAGAGAGGGGAAAGATAGAAATCTTCTGTCTTCTGGTTCACTCCCCAAATGGGTGGGCCAGGCCAAAGCCAGGAGCCAGAAGTGTCTTCCAAGTTTCCCACGTGGGTGCCAGGGCCTACGCTTGTGGGCCATCCTCCACTGTTTTCTCAGGTACATTAGCAGGGAGCTGGATCTCAAGTGGAGTGGCCAGGACATGAACTGATGCCCGTGTGGAATGCCGGCACCACAGGCAGTGGCTTTACCTGCTGCGCCACAGCACTGGCCCCAAACACTTTCTTTTCAAAGCTTTTTTCTTTGGTAACGACGTGCCTTAACATTAATACATTGTGGGCTTTTGTTAGGTTCGGATCTGAAGCTCCTGCCTTGTACCAGTAAAGCCATTATGCCGTACTGCCTGCACTTGATGTTAGCCTGTTTTAAGGTAAGCCTAAGGTTGCTTAGCCTGAGGAGAGTTTAATGTGGAGTACCTGTCCCGATGACCTGGAATGACTTGAATGAGAGTCCTGTTAATGGTAGTTTAGTCTAGGCTGGTACAGTGGGACAAGCACCGGGGCTGGGAATCGGCAGATAGGTATCTACTTAATAACAGCGGAGCAAAGATGAGCCGGAAGCGAGCCCCTTCAGAGTTTCCAAATGGTAGTGGGAGTGTTCAGGAAGTCTTTTATGTGATAATATGCTTGCCAGGGCACATGAGCTATGGAAGAGGCCTGCAGATGCCCCCTGGGCTCTGAGGGGGCTTCTGAGGGTGTCCTCAGGGAGACCTGGCGGGTGGAGGCATTTCGGGCATGAGGGTCCCCACCAGCCAAGCCCACAGCGTTGGGAGAGTTCGAGGACTGCTGAGAGATGAGAGCCCTAGAGTGGAGCATCTCAGTAGCTTCCAGAAGGCAAGAGGGTGGCCATATGGAGTCTTGACTTGGCGTGGTGGTTGCCGGAGGTAACCAGGCGTCCCGGCCACACGGGGTAGTGGACACACTGTGAAGTGTGATTGCTGCGTGGCTGGTTGTTGAAGACAGAAGGTCCCTTGGCTGCTTCTTGGGTCTCACTGCTGGTTCCTTCCCTGTTGCCTGGTCCCCTGTTCCCCTCAAACGCTTCTCACCTCGGGGGCCCTTTGCCCACCTGCTATCCCCAGAAGAAATCTGCAAAATCTCTCTCAGTTGAGCAGGGCAGGTTGGCTTTCTGTGGCCCTCCTTCCCAAATTCAGAAGCTTCGGGCCCACCTGTGCCTGTCCCGCCCACAGCCTGCACGCTGTGGCCAGGCTCCCCCCCCCCCTCGCCCCCCGCCCTCCTCCTGGGGCAGTTCTGGCATGGGCTGCGCTGGGTGCCCTTCCTTTGCTGACACGCACATTTCCTCTGCCCCTGCGGTTTCCTTCCCCTCCAGTGGCTCACCTCAATCTCTGTCTTGCAGCTTCGAGCGTTCACGGACAGTAGGGACGACATGGCGCTGGGCCACGTGGTGGTCCTGCTTCAGCAGGAGTGGCCGCGGGGCGAGAGCCTCTTTCTGAAAGCCGTCAACAAGATCTGCCAGCAGGGGAACTTCCAGTACGAGAACTTCTTCAATTACGTCACAAGTATCCTTTTCCCAGTGTAGGCCCACCAAGTCCCAATTTTGCAGGACGGATACGTGATATAAAAAGAAATGACCCTTTGTGGATCCAAATACTCATTGTGATGCTTCTTACTGTTTTAGTGGGGAGAAAGAAACAGAATGGTGATTAAATCGTGGCTGTGGGGCAGGCACTGCGAGTTAAGCCACTACCTGGGATGCCTGCACCCCCTTGCGGAGTGCCTGGCACTGTGTCCTGCCTCTCCCTCCAGTCCTGCTCCCTGCTGAAACACCTGGGAGGCAGTGGAGGATGGCCCAAGTACCTGGATCCCTGCCACCCACGTGGGAGACCCGGGTGGAGCTCCTTGCTCCTGCTTCAGCCTGGCCCACCCCCAGCTGTTGCAGGCATTTGGGGAGTGAACCAGAAAATAAAAGATAAACTGACTCTCTCCTTCCCTCCCTCTCTCCTTCTCTTTCCCCCTCTTCCTGTTCCTGTCTCTCTCTCCCCCTCTCTCTCTCCCTCTCTCTCCTTCCCTCTCCCCCCTCCCTCTCTCCCCTCCCCTTCCATTCTTCTCCCCCTCCTCCTTCTTATCTCCCCACCCCCGCCATTTGCCTCCCTCTCTGTCACTTTTTCTTAAATCTTTAAAAATGGAGCTGTGGCAGTTGGTTTGGGGAAAGTTGTAAAAGGCTTCAAAGATGCAATTCATGGAGCCAGTGTTCTGGTGTAGTGGGTAAAGCCGCCACCTGCGGCACCAGCATCCCATAGGGGTTCTGGTTCGTGTCCCGGCTGCTCCACTTCTGATCCAGCTCCCTGCTAATGTTCTTGGGAATGCAGCAGAAGATGACCCCAAGTGCTTGGGCTCCTGCACCCATGTGGGCAACCTGGATGAAGCCCCTGACTCCTGGCTTCAGCATGGCCAAACCCCTACTGTTGAGGCCACCTGGAGAGTGAACCAGCGGATAGAAGATCTCTCTCTGTCTCTGTAACTCTGACTATCAAATCTTTAAACAAACAAAATGATTGCATTTTCCACTGCAAGCTGACTTCTAAGAATACCCTGCAGATTGCTTGTCTTACCTCCTCTCCCCCGCCCCTCCCCCCTTTCTTTCTACTTACTTATTTGAAAGGTAAAGAGACAGGGAAAGAGAGATCTTCAGTCGGCTGGTTCACTCCTCAAATGGCTGCAGTGGCCAGGCCAGGAGACTGTGTAACTGCATCAGGTGTCCATGTGGGTGGCAGGGACCCAGACACTTGGGCCATCATCGGCTGCCTTCCCAGATCCTTTAGCAGGGAGCTTGATCGGAGGCACAGGGCCAGGACACAAACCCGTGCTCTGTTACAGGATGCTGGTGTTGTTAACCTGCTGTGCCAAATGCTGGTCCCAGCCCGCAGGCTCTTGACAGGCCCAGAGTGGCTCGTTTAGCTGGGAAAGGTAGAGTTCCATGGCCTTCATCCAGCGAGAGGGCCTCCTAGGGCCTCTCCGGGGACACTGGCTGTCCCCTGGACTGTTAATCGAGCACTGTGCCCCAGCTGTCACTGCGACCAGGGAGTCCCACCGACACTGCTGCCCAGCAGTAGCCGCCCCTGGTGATGAGGTCGTGCTTTACCTCACACTGTATTAGGGAAAGACCTTGTTTGAATTAGAGGCCATGCATTATTTGGGGTGTTTTTACTCCATAGCTTATCTTACTAATGTATTACTTCTGAGTTACAAAGAGTAAGATGTCCTTGTCCAAGTGCCCAGAGCACACATTTTAAACCTTTTTTTGGGACAGGCACCTTTTTAAGATCTGATGAAAGTTTTGTAATTTTTAAACAGAGACGTGTATGTGACCAGTTCATGAAATCTGGGAGTTGGGAGATTCACAGAAGCTTCCCTCCCAAAGCATCTGAAAACGCTCCTACCCTGGCTCTGAAGAAATAAGCACTTGATTTTCGTGAATTTCATGTATTTGCAAGGCAGAGTTACAGAGAGGTAGAGCGATCTCTTACCTGCAGGTTCACTCCTCAAATGGCCCTCCCAGTCAGGACAGGGTCAGGCTGCAGCCAGGAGCCTGGAACTCCATCTGGATCTCCCATGTAGATGGCCGGGGCCATTCTCTGCAGCTTTCCCAGGCCATTAGCAGGGAGCTGGACTGGAAGTGGAGCAGCCAGGACAAAACTGCCCATATGGATGCCGGCATTGAGTGCTATTACTGAACCCACTGTGCCACAATGCCGGCCCTGAGTTTTGTTTTTTTTTTTTAAAGATTTATTTATTTATTTGAAAGTCAGAGTTACACAGAGAGAGGAGAGGCAGAGAGAGAGAGAGGTCTTCCATCCGATGGTTCACTTCCCAATTGGCTGCAATGGCCGGAGCTACGCCAATCTGAAGCCAGGAGCCAGGAGCTTCTTCCAGGTCTCTCATGCGGGCACAGGAGTCCAAGGACTTAGGCCACATTCTACTGCTTCCCCAGGCCACAGCAGAGAGCTAGACCGGAAGTGGAGCAGCTGGGTCACGAACTGGCACTTCAGGCCAGGGCATCAACCCGCTGTGCCGCAGCGCTGGCCCCCGGCCCTGAGTTTCGTGCTCTGTTGTTTACAAACCTCCCTTTTCGTACTGCCGCTTGCATTTCATATTGGGAAAAGCAAACATTTTGCTTTTATGGCCATATGTAGTCTGTTCAGTTATCTTCGTGAAAACATGTTGTCCCCACGCCCTCCAGCCTGGTGCACCAGTGCTCAGAGCTGCCTGTAAGGTGGTTGTTTGGAATCCTGTAGTAGACCTGGGTTCATGTCCTCCCTCCACCACAGCCAGTGGGGTTGGAGATGGTGGCTGTGTGCTCACTCAGAGAACGGGTCATGCAGTTTCACGCACGCTTTCCCTGAGCCTGGCCTGCAGATATTGACATGCTGGAGGAGTTTGCCTACCTGCGGACTCAGGAAGGCGGGAAGATTCACCTGGAATTGCTGCCCAACCAAGGCATGCTCATCAAGTAAGCTGCTGATGCCCGCTGAGTGCTGGGGTGGGATGTTGGAACATGGGGGTTGTTTGCTGGAGTTTTAAGAGAGAGGAACCCAAACCTGCTGTATGTCTTTGAGTCTGTTTGATTCCGGGCATCTTTGGAAAGAGTTGCTTCCCCTCACATTTCTGAAAAGCATGGTTTCAATTGGCCTAATTCTGCCGCTTTGGAAACTTGTTCTCTGGACAAAAGTCTCCTAGATGATAACTTTTCCTTTCTAAAATTTATAGACTGGTTCTATGATTAGACAGAATGCTTTGAAGTAAGAATAGCCATGTTCAATTACATAGTTGTACTGGCTTGGGAACACCTAACTAGGAGTTGACGCATAAGCCAGAGTTGAAGCCCTCCTAAGCAGGCCTCACTGTGCAAACCAGCCAGCTGTGCTGCCTCTGGGAACGTGCCTGCCCCGAGAGTGACGGGCCTGCTCGGCCCAGGCCGTCCCCCTGTCCCCACGGGGTGTTCCTAGTGACCATTTATGATTTTTAAATAGCTCGTGAACCTGCTTCTCCCTTCAGTCTGCCTTGTGGTTTGGGTGACGAGCCCCCCTGCTGTAAGTGCCCGTGTAGTTGAACTTCATACTTCCTCCCCCGCTTCCTGCTTTCTCAGTGTGTCTGTCAGTCAGTGTCAGGGCTCCTGCCAGAGGCTGCACCCCACGGGGGAAGAGAGCGTTGCCGAGGCTGAGGCTGGTTTTTTCTTTTTCCCTCACCTGCGGGACGAACGAATGAGTTCTCATAGGGTCCCGGCAGTCGCAGAGGTGTTGAGGGCGGGGAGAGAGACGCTCACCCTAGGTTTCTGCAACCTCAGTGGTTTGGTGCACAGCACACGTGGCTGTTAGTGTCCTAACAAGAATGTAGGGCCCTGTGGAGTCCAAACTGAAGAATGGGACGGATAAGTGGTCATCTCTCCCCGCCCCCAATCTTGTAAATGTTACTAGATAGCCTAAACATTGAAAATAAAAGAACAAAATGCTTTTTTTTTTTTAAACCATAAAACCCTTTATATATATTAGACTCCTTAGATGACATTAGCTAAGACCTGCTCATCTTCTGATCTCCATGGTGACTCAAAACTGTGGGGAGAGTAACTGCATGGCTCAAAATATTCTTAGGAGCAGTTGGGAGTGAAGGTTGCTCTTTGATATGGGAGTCCAGGTAACCCCTTTTGTGTGAACGATTTCTGTTTTGAAACTGGATGTGGACACACAGCTTCAGTGGGTTCCCCGCAGTCGGGATCCTGCGAGAGAAGTCCTGGTGATGCAGACAGCCCTGGAGGCCACACCCTTGACTGCGTGCCGCCTGACTGTCGGCGGAGCTGGAGAGGATGGGTTGGCAGGCAGGCAGCAGCTGAACCTTCCTTCCCTGGTCCTGGGCGAGCCGGGTAGTGACTTGAGCACACACAGACAATCCCGGGGACAAGGAGTTCCAGCAGCGAGCGTTGGCTGCCCTGCTGGTCCCCTGGACTTGGGTTTGTTTGCATAAGGAATGCCCTCGCATTTCCAGGCTCTGGAGGGACAACTCCAAGCTCTGCGCCTTGACTGGTGTAACCCCCGCTTCTTCTCCCCTGCTGTAGAAGCCGAGCCTGTTAGAGAACCCACTGGCTCCTGGGTTGGAAGCAGGAATAGGAATTGAGAACCCGGTGAACCCACTGGTAGGAATTCGCCTGCTCTTAGTAATTTGAAGCCTGTGTTTCAAATTACTTAAGGACAACACTACCACAGTAGAGGCCACGGGCAGAAGACAGAGAGCTCTGAGTAGAATCTGGACTGAAACTGTCTATATTCCTTTTCCTTTGGGCTCCCAACCAATGCTCTGAAGCCATTGCAGACCTTTGGGGGTGGCCCCTGCAGCTGAGTGGCAGAGGTGTTGTGAGCAGTGTGCAGTTCCTCCCCCGGGTAAGGTTGTGAGTCCGCCCTAGCTGTGGCACCACGATGCCAGCAGGTCCAGTACACACGCAGCGAGGGTGCCCAGCGCCTGACCCAAGGAGGGACAGGCTCTTCATCTGTGATGCGGGCACAGGCTCTCAGAGTCAGGAACTGTCTGAGCTAATGCTTGCAGTGTCTTGGTTGCCTCAGGCTGCATTAAGACAGGAAGTGATGTCCATGTGTGGTGCGATGGGGTGGGTACTGACGTACTGCGTCTTTGCCATTAGAGAGTCCAGCCAGAATGTGCCTCCCAGCCTGTTGTCCCGTCCGTCCCTTGCCTCGATTCCTTTGTGACATTCAAATTCACCCTGTCCTTACCAAAAGCAGTGCCATGCCCCTGGTCCTCTTGGAAGGGTCTCTCCAGTCTGGGGCTGCAGTTCCTCAAAGATGGTCACCGGAGTCCCCAGGTTCATTCCCAGGACTGGCACAGGCACGCCAAGAGTGGCGGGTGACAAAGGCCGGATCCGAACTCGCACCCTCCCAAGCGTTAACCCCCTCCCCACTGCCACCCACTCGCATCTCATTGTCCTCTTCCTCACTGGCTGCTTTTCCTACTGGAACTTGAGTGGACTGAGCCCTGGGACCAGGAGCCACGAGACCTCTGGCTGCGCCCCCGTGGCGGGTGCAGTGGGGCTCACCAGCCTGTCCCAGGTGGCCTTAACAGCCGCGGCCGGGGACTGCGTGTGCTGCCAGCCTCGGGCGTTCGCTCTGAGGGTTGTTGGGCAGTGCCCGGTGCGTTGGTGCGGGTGTTTGAATGCTGCTGTCTGCTGTTTCTTAAAGGCCTTCTAGCCCTCCTGTGGGGTTACTGCAGCAGGAATTCTTACCTGTGCTTCCGCCCAGCATACAGACTGCTGACAGGTACCACGTGGAAACAACACCTGCTCATAGTGTGCTGTTTTGTCGACATGTTTTACTGCCCATGGTGTTCAGCTCTCTGTTCCTCGGTGCCCTTTCTCATGCTTTCTTTTCCTTTTAATTTGTCTATTGATTTGTTCTGCATTCCTTGGCAAACCATCTGGTTGTAATATTGTAACATTTCTTATTGTTTCTCCATAAGTTGCTGGTGTGTTTGTGTTGGATTTAAAAATCATTATGGATCTAGAGGGAAAAAAATGAAAGTGATATAAAATGGGATCAGGTCCAGTGCACGATAGGTGGGGTGCAGAGCTATGGTTCTTTGATAAAGCCCAGATACCGCAGGGCACTTACGTTGATCCTAAATTAATTTGTTACTCATTTTGTGGACTTTCACAGTGGTGACTGGTCTTGTTTTTGGTCTAATAAGTAGGCAGTAGCACAGCCGGTTTTCCTGCTACTGATACTAGTTTTTTCAGACCTTTAACCTTTCTGAACTCAAAATATTTGATAGGCAAAAATGCCACATTTACCTGCTGGTTTATCTTGTTCTTAAACTGTAAAAACTGGCTGCAGTCACGTGCTGCCTAACACCAGAACTCGTATTCTGAGAAACGCACTGGTAGCCACACCATCATAGCATGTCCCCGCAGAAGCCTGGGTGACAGCCGCTGCACACCTCAGCCTGTGTCTGTGCTGTGGCCGTGCGTGTGGCTCTCTGCCGACGGCAGCATTGCTGTGTGGCGCCTGTCAGTCTCACTTTGACCCCTGCTGTTAGAAAAGTAGAGGGTCTCCTAGAGTATGATGGGGTTGTGCTGCTCTCTGTACATGAAAGCGCGCACCACGGGGCTGCAGTAGTTCATTACTGTTCAGTAGAGTGGAGGCGAGAGCTCCCAGACACCAGGGCTTCTTGGTCACAGGCTAGGTTCCAGTTTGTGGCTGCAGCCTGGGACCCAGAACAGGAGCTCAGGACACCGTAGCAGGGTCTGTGTCGGCTCCCAGTGGGACCTGCAGCCTCCAGCCCACCGACGCTACGAGATGACCAGGTTGACCCACTAGAAATGTTCAGCAGGAGCTGTGCGAAGTGTTTGCTCGTGGGCACCGTAGAGGGCCCTGGCCACGGCTCTCCTGAGCTCACGGTGCCCGGCTGTCTGTTGGGTGACTCCCGCTGGGCTGATTGGATACGATCATTCCTGCAAGTTTTACAAACAGGAACGTCTTGGAGTTCATTTCGGCAGTTTAATCTGATTCTAAATCCTCTTTAGCTTGTCTGAGGGGAGGCAGGCAGGCGGGGCAGAGGGGGTGGCTCCGGATGGCCGAAATCTACATTGCTGACCAGGAGTTAAAACTCCTTGCCTTTCCTCGGAGCCCCCAGGTCTGCCAGGCTTCTCCTTTTCCTTTCTTGCTTTTGGGTTGGTCTCCAGTGTCCTGGAATTGCCTGTTCTGAGGCACAGCTTCACTTCTGCCCCAGCCAGCCCTGTCCAGTGTCCCTGCAGTAGGACTCGGCAGGCGCTGGCCCGGGGCATCAGTGACTCTGCCTCCGTCCCCCGGCTGGGCCAGATTCCTGTCTTAGGAGCCCGGTGCTCCCTGCTTTTTCTCCAGCCCATGGCAGTCCACATGGGCACAGCATTTAGAGTCTGGAGTCCCACAGGGAGGCGTGTTCATGGTCTCCGTGGCCAGGCAGAGCCCCCAGCCTTTCTGAGTCTCGGGGACCATGGTGGGACTCTCCTTGGGAATTGGCTCACTCTGGTCCCCTTCTAGCTGCTGGCCTGGCTGGGTGTGAGTGTGCTGATGCCAGTGTGGGCCAAGCCCCAGGAACTGAACTGTGTGCGGGGCCGCAGTCGGATCCCAGCCTGAGGAGTTCAGAACCCAGCAGGCGGCGTGTGTGACCCAGCCTTGTGCAGAGTGGGAACTGGCCCTAGCGTTAGGTCCTTCTGACGGGGCGTGGGCAAAGGCAGGCCAGTGGGTTGGGGGCGTTTCTTTTTCAAAAACGTTCTGCCTGTCGCTACTTAGATGGAGGCGGGCGTGCCTCCTGCCTAAGTACCTCTGCTCGGGGTGCGTGTGCTGACCCCAGCTCTTGGTCTGTTTCCCTGTCGCTGACCGCAGGCACCACACGGTCACTCGAGGCATCACCAAAGGCGTGAAGGAGGATTTCCGGCTGGCCATGGAGCGCCAGGTCTCCCGCTGTGGGGAGAACTTGATGGTGGTGCTGCACAGGTTCTGCATCAACGAGAAGATCCTGCTCCTGCAGACTCTGAGCTGACCGGAGGCCTGCCCACCACCCAGCCCGCCGCCGCTCAGCGGTGAGATTCGCTGCTGCCACTCTTGAAAAAAAGAACATCCGGGTTCTCTCTGGTGGCTTCAGAGTAGTTCCCACGAGTCTGAGACGCTATTTCTATTTTTAAGAGTTATTTTTTTGTAATTTTTGTAAAGCAAAAGAATCGACCTGTTTTGTAAATAAAACCACTGTGCTAAAATTCGAGGTTTTGAAATGTCTGATTCTTAGGTGTTTCTGAAGAGTGGTGCATCTCGCGCCTCCTTTTCCAAGCACACAGCAGAGGAACAGTTCCAGCGCCGTGGAATTGAGTGAGGAACGTTACGGGTGCGGATCCTTGAAGAGACACGTGCCTCCAGGGGTCCCTGGCTGCTGTTTCCCACAGTGTAGGGCTGCTTCAGATCGAAAGAGCGAAGTAGTTCAGTTACTTTGCATAGTCTTAGCAAGTTTTCTAACTCAGATCCCTTTTATAAGAATATTAAAGTCAGACTAGTTTAAGTCCATAATAGGCTTCTGATCACAAAAATACCTTTGTACTAGCTTTTTTTTCTCTTTTAATATTTATTTTATTTGAAAGGCTGGTGCAGTCCCCAAATAACCACAACAGCCAGGGCTGCTCCAGGCTGAAACCAGGAGCCAGGAACTCCAACCTGGGTGCAGGGGCAGGCTCTCGCTGCCTTCCCAGGTGTATTAGCAGGGAGCTGGATCAGAAGTGGAGCAGCTGGGACTCAGGCTCTCGGATGCGTGATGCTGGTGCTGGAAGTAGCAGCTTCCCCCGCTGTACCACCCCACCAACCCCAACAGGCTCCCTGTAAAGCATCTGCCAAGGTAAGGAGTTGTCCCCAAACAGCCTTTAAAGTAAGCAGTTCTCTTTTGGTTTCCCAGCACCTCCCTCAGACCAGTGTTTGGGGCAGTGCACATGAAGACAGGGCAAGCACCAGGTTAAACTTAGTTAAAAAATCCATTTGTGCCACTTGAGTGTGACAGCGTTCCAGGTGAGCACAGTGGAGACTCAGGTCGAGCTTGCTGGCCAGGAATGGTGGAGGGTACACTCCAGCCCAACCCCTGCCCTCAGCCTTGGCCAGGCAGGCCAGGCAGAATCTCCATGCCGCCAAGAGCTGCTGTCTGTCCCAGCCAGAGCCTGGTGGTCGGCAGACGGGCCCTTGGGAAACCCTCTGCGCCTGGAGGTGGTGTCTCCTCCCAAGACTGTCCCCCGGCACCAGAGGACAAGACCCCCGGGGAGCAGGGAGCCCGCAGTCCCAGCACAGTCCCTGGAGCAGGAAGGAAGCTGTGATTGGCTGTCAGATATTCTTCGAGGCAAGAACAGTGCACCTGCAGCTGATTGGTTTAATGCTGTTGACTCGTACAGCAAGAAGCTGCCATTTATGTCCGGCTTATATTTAGGGATCTCTTGTGAAGGGAGATTCAAATGATGCCAGTTTTGATTACCGGGCCATGATAGGTAGCTGGCCTCGGGGTGTCTGAACTGTGGCCTCCACGTTCGTTTTTTTATTTATTTTTTTAATGTTACTGTGCATTCCCCCAATATTCCTTATTGCTATTTTTATAACTGAGATCACTTGTGTAGATTTAATTTACAACCAACATTCAGATTTTAGTGCTTTAGTTCCAAGATTTTCTCATTCTATTAAAATTCTGCACATAAGCAGGTGGATTTCGCCTGGTTTCCTTATCACCGCCCTTGATCTTGTCTGTTCTCTTCCTGTTATCTTTAGGGCCTCATGATTCTTTGTTCTTGTGCTTTTTTTTTTTTTTTTTTGGATTGAAATAATATTTATTGATTGTTGACTCTATCCAAAGCAGTATATGTATTCAGCACAGTCTCTTATCAAAATCCCAATGGTATTCTTCACAGAAATGGAAAAAAATTCTAAAATTCATATGAAGCTACAAAAGACTTTGAACACCCAAAGCAATTTGGAGGAAAAAAAGTTGAAGGAATCACATTTCCTGATTTGAAATTATATTAACAAATCTCTATAATCAAAAGAGTCTGGCACTGACATAGAAACAGACACACAGACCAGCAGGACAAAATACATAGCCTAGAAACAAATATAAACACAAGTAGTAAATTTTTAAAAATATTTATTTTAAAAAATATTTATTTAACAGAGTTAGAGTCACAGAGAGAGGGACAGAGAGCGAGGTCTTCCATCCACTGGTTCACTCCCTAAATGGCTGCAACAGCCAGAGCTGAACCAATCCAAGGGGGCAGGAGTTTCTTCTGGATCTCCCACGTGGATACGGGGGCCCAAGCACTGCTTTCCCAGGCCATTAGCAGGGAGCTGGTCGGAAGTGCAGCAGCCGGGACTCAAACTGGTGCCCATTTGGGATGCTGGCGCCACAGGTGGAGGCTTAACCTACCACACCACAGCGCCAGCCCCATCAGTTAGTTTTCATCAAGGATATTAAGAGGACACAATGGGGAAAGGATAGTCTCATCAATGAATGGTGTTGAGAATACTAGACTTCCACATGCAAAAGAATGAAATTGAACTCTTATACCATACACAAAAAGCCACTCAAACTCTATCATAAAGACCTAACATCCTACCTGAAGCCATAAAATTTCTAGAGGAAAACAGAAAAACCCTCCTTGACATTAGCCTTGGCAATGATTTTTTTGGATTTCATGCCAAAAACTCAAAAAGCAAAAATAGATGGGAATACAAACTAAAAAGCTCTGCACAGCAAAATAAACAGTCAACAAGTTAAAAGATAGTCTGCAGACTGGGAGCAAGCCATTTATCTGATAAATGGTTAATATCCAAAATAAAGTTGTACAACTCAAGAGCAAGGAAAAACACCCCAGTTTTAAAATGGAGGCAAAAATCTGAACAGTTTTAAAAAAAAAAAAAAAAAACATAAAAATGACCAGTATGGGGAAGGCATTTGGTACAGCAGTCAGTGTACTGCTTGGGACACTAGATAGGAATGCCTTGCTTCAAGTCCTGATGCTTTTTTGTTTTTCCCCCGACAAACCTTTTGTTTAAGGAATACAAACTTCATGCATTTCATAAATACAACTTTAGGAACACTGATTCTTCCCACCATGCCCGCCCTCCCACCCACTCTGCCTCCCTTCTGCCTCCTCCCTCTGCTTATTCCCATTCTTATTTTTAACTAAGATCTATTTTCAATGCACTTTATACACAGAAGATTAGCTCTATACTAAGCTAAGAGTTCAACAAATAGTATTTAAAAAAAAAAAAAAAAGCTGTTCCTCGGCAGTATTTTGGTTTCTTCTATGACCCACTGTTCATTCAGGAGCATGCTGTTCAGTCTCCATGTGTTTGTGTATGCTCTAGGGATTCCTGAGTTGCTGATTTCCAGCTCATTCCATTGTGGTCTGAGAAGATGTGTGGTAAGATTTAGTTTTTTTTTTAATTTGCTGATTCTTGCTTTATGGCCTAGTATGTGATCAATCCTAGAGAAAGTTCCATGCACTGCTGAGAAGAATGTGTATTCTGCAACTGTAGGATGAAATGTTCTGTAGATATCTGTTAGGTCCATGTCGTCTATAGTGTCAGTTAAATCTCTATTTCCTTGCTGATTTTCTGTCTGGTTGATGTGTCCATTACTGAAAGTGGAGTATTGAAGTCCCCAATACTGTTGTATTGGAGTCTAAGTCTCCCTTTAAGTCCCTTAACATATCTTTTAAATAGCCAGATGCCCTGTAATTAAGCACATATACATTTATAATAGTTACATCTTCCTGTGGAATTGATCCCTTAATCATTACAGAATGCCCTTTTTTGTCTCTTTTAACAATTTTTGTGTTAAAGTCTATTTTGTCTGTTATTAGGATGGCTATACCAGCTCTTTTTTGGTTTCTGTTGGCATGGAATATCTTCTTCTATCCTTTCACTTTCCGTCTGCATGATTCTTTGTGAGATATGTTCTTGTAGGCAGCAAATAGATTTTCTGCCTTTGCCTTCTTTCATAGTGATGACCATGTTTCTGTGTCTCTGTGTGCAGCACATCCTTAAGCATCTTCTACAAGGCAGGATGAGTGGTGACAAATTCTTTCAATTTCTGTTTGTCATGGAAGATCTTTATTTTACCTTCATTCATAAATAAGAGCCTTGCAGGGTACAGTATTCTGGGATGATAGTTTTTTTGTTTTGTTTTGTTTTGTTTTCTTAAGACTTGAAATATTTCTCGGCATTCTCTCCTAGCCTGCAGGGTTTCTGATGAGAAGTCAGCTGTGAGTCTAATTGGAGAGCCTTGGTAATCTGGAGTTTCTCTCCTGCACATTTTAGAATCTTTTCTTTATGTTCTGCTGTGGAGAGTCTGACTACAATGTGATGTGGTGAGGATCTTTTCTGGTCATGTTTATTAGGAGGTCTATGTGCTTCCTGTACTTGGACGTCCCTTTTGGTAGCTTTGGGATCTGGAAGGAGGGAAGGCCTACACTTCCGGGAATGGAGAGGCCTACTTCTGGGGAAGAAAGTCCTTGTCAAGGTCCCTGCGGGTGCCTAAAGGTCAACCAATGAGGATCAGACCCGCCTCAACCTTTAACCCCCATGCCCTGAATCTATAAAAGGAGCTCTCCCAATCTCTGATGCGCGACTTCCCTGGCCCCCGCCCTGTTGCTCTGCTGGGACCAGGGAACCTCGCCCAGGAGCGGAACCTCAATAAAAGCCTGTGAATTAACTGATTCGTCTGCCTGGGAAGATTTGTTAAACGCTAGACACCTTACACCTTTCATTCTCCAAATTAGGGACGTTTTCTGTAATTGCTTCACTAAAAAGGCCTTCTAATCCATTCTCTCTTTCTACGCCTTCAGGAACTCCTAAGACCTGTATGTTGGGTTGTTTGATAGAATCCTGTAGATCTCCAATACTTTTTTAGTTTTCTAATTTCTTTTTTTTTTTTTTTTGGTCTGACTGTAAAATTTCCAGAGATTTGTCTTCTAACTTGAATATTCTTTCTTCTGCCTCACCGAGTCTATTATTAAGGCTTTCCACCACATTTTTCATTTGATCTATTGAATTCTTCATTTCCAAGATTTCATTTTGATTTCTCTTTAAAATCTCAATTTGATGGAAAAAATATTCATTCCTGTCATATATGGATTTAATTCATGGATTTGCTTCTGATTATTTCTACATAATCCTACGATCAATTTTTTGAATTCTGTTTCAGGCATTTCTTCAATCTCTTTATCTTCACATTCTA